CAGCGCTTTATTGTACGATAAACAATTCCCACTCGTCGTTTGTTACTAAATTAAAACATGCTTCACGTGTCCAGACTTGCCACGAATGTTATTTGCTTTGACAACTGGAAGAATATGATCACTTGTTGAAATGCGGGGCTATTTAAGTCTCGTCAGCAATTCCAATGAATGGACCAAGTAGATATGTAATATCACACCTTAACAATACACAATCTTTAGCATTCGATTTGACTCATTGTTAATTTTTGTTGTTATGGTGACGCTATTCCTTTCAATGAATTTATTTCGGTAAGCATGTCAAATTAGTAACAGGCGAGAACGGGGATTGACAGATTGATATATTTTGCTAAGTTAGTAAACAATCAACAAATGTATTACAAAAATTAACTAGGTTTACATATCAATACAAATTACTGCACAGTAATTACAATGGCGGTACACACTAGAGTGGTAGTACAATATTCAATGGCAATGAATAATATGATGGCAGTAGTCAGTACCAAGTACAGTGGTGATAGCAATAGTCCGTGATAATAATATATTATTCATCCAGCGGCGACAGTGGTCAAGCTTCCGAGATGGGCGAGGCAGGGAAACAGGGACGATGATCGATCCTCACATGAAAACTGGTATACCGAACCGGAAGTCTACGAACCACACTAACATCTAAATATCGTAACTTCCTGACGACTGATCACTGTCCAAACACAATGCAATGAGTGTCTTCCGAATCCCAACAAAAACAATGTCAGATGTTACTGTCATTGTTCAACAATAAATACACTGCAATAAAGGGTGGTCACATAGTCGGCATGCGCTCTGAGCTCGTCTGGCATCGTGTTCAGAACTGCTACCCTCTGATCCTCAACCTGGAATGTAATATCAGTGTATTTGTTTGTTTGATTGTTGTTTAACGCTGCATTCAGCAGTATTCCAGCTATATCATGTATATGACAGCTGTCTGACCACCCGATCCCGTTAGTGGCCTCTTACGACAAGCAAAGTCGCCTTTTACGACAAGCATGGGTTGCTGAAGACCTATTCTACCCCGGATCGTCACGGGTCTCCAAGTTGTAAATACGCATATGAAGTGATAGGTTTGAATGAGACTTGTCTCTATGAATAAACATATGCTTATGATATGCTCGGAATCGTACAATGGCTTATACTTCTGGCAGATAATTCATATGATGATAAAAATATAAAACGTCTTGGATAACGCCAGTCTTGATTATCCGACGAAACAGATTCCATCGGGCGTAAAGGGCACATCAGTGTTATGTTTGTTTGTTTGTTGTTTAACGCCGCACTCAGCAATATTCCAGCTATATGACGGCGGTCTGTAAATAATCGATTCTGGGCCAGACAATCCAGTGATTGAAAACATGAGCATCGATCAACACAATTGGGATAGGATGACATGCATCAACCATCAACATGTAGGTAGGTAGGTAAGTAGGTAGGTAGGGTTTCAATTCAGTTTACTTATCACGCGGTTGAAGGCGTCCACACAATCGATGGTACGTATGCCTTTAGCTTGCCTGCAAGTACACTGTTCACAAAAAGAAACGCAGGTAGACTTTTTGTAAATTTATTGTACCTTATAAAATCGATATATTTAATTAAATATCACAGATGCAAATATGAAATTTGGAGCGCGATAGTCACAAGTTGTCGTTGTACAAAGGCATTGACAACTGTTCATTGTCATGTCGCATAAGGCCACAAGCTTGCGCTGAACTCAGTATCTCGTGTGACCGCCCCAGGCAGCAATCACGGCTCTGCATCTCCTCGGCACTGACTGGATAAGTGTACGAATTCGGTCCTGCGGAATTCTGCTTGTAACGCATTGGCCAGTTGTGGAAGTGTCTGCGGCGTGTTCTGACGTTGACGTACACGTCAATCGAATTCATCCCAGAGGTGTTCGATTGGGTTGAGACCTGGAGATCTCGACGGCCAGGGCAGGTCGTTGATGTTGGCATTATGAAGGTAGTCTACCGTGACACAAGCTGCGTGCAGTGGAGCGTTGTCCTATTGAAACAGCTCCCTCTTGCGCGGTCAATGGTTGGAAGAAGGTGAGGTTGAAGAATTTGATTCATGTAGCGATTTGTTGTCAAATTTCCCTGAAACACAACCAAGTCAGATCTCGTGGTATAGGATATGGCCCCCCACACCATGACCCTACCACCACCGACATTGTCGAATTCACATACACAATGTGGGGCAAAACGCTTCGACGACGATAAACACGTTAGCTTCCATCTCGCCGGTGAAGAAGTAATCGTGATCCATCGCTAAACCACAAACGTCTCCAGTTTTCTCAAAATCAAAGGCTGTAAGGTATGGCACCAACGCAAGCGTCGATGTCGATGGATCTATTGCAAAACAGGGACGCTAACATGCTTCACGTGTCCAGACTTGCCACGAATGTTATTTGCTTTGACAACTGGAAGAATATGATCACTTGTTGAAATGCGGGGCTATTTAAGTCTCGTCAGCAATTCCAATGAATGGACCAAGTAGATATGTAATATCACACCTTAACAATACACAATCTTTAGCATTCGATTTGACTCATTGTTTATTTTTGCTGTTATGGTGACGCTATTCCTTTCAATGAATTTATTTCGGTAAGCATGTCAAATTAGTAACAGGCGAGAACGGAGATTGACAGATTGATATATTTTGCTAAGTTAGTAAACAATCAACAAATGTATTACAAAAAATAACTAGGTTTACATATCAATACAAATTACTGCACAGTAATTACAATGGCGGTACACACTAGAGTGGTAGTACAATATTCAATGGCAATGAATAATATGATGGCAGTAGTCAGTACCAAGTACAGTGGTGATAGCAATAGTCCGTGATAATAATTTATTATTCATCCAGCGGCGATAGTTGTCAAGCTTCCGAGATGGGCGAGGCAGGGAAACAGGGACGATGATCTATCCTCACATGAAAACTGGTATACCGAACCGGAAGTCTACGAACCACACTAACATCTTGGTGTAAGGTATGGCGCCAACGCAAGCGTCGATGGATCTGTTGCAAAACAGGGACGATAACTTGTCTTCCGGGTCGGATTCCAGCCTCGCGAAGATGGTTCCTGACAGTCTGGTCCGATATCCTTCTCAAACCAGGGATGCGTCCTGCAGTCTCCTTAGCTGTGACATTGCGATGACGCAGGTGGAACAGTCGAATGTAGCGATTCTGTGCATGGGTGGTAACTCTTGGTCGGCCGCTTCCCGGACGGTCTGCAGTGGAATGGAAGTGTGTGTATCCGTCCCAAAGGCGACAAACGGTGCTGGACGATGATGTGGCGTGCAACACACGACTGCGATTCCCCTCTTTGGATACGTCCAAGGGCGATGTTACGATCGGCAGCGCTGATTCTCGGCATTTTCGAACTTGAAAAATGTTGACAATTGAATGACAAATTATTGGCTTATGCTTGCCTTTTTATAGCCACTACCACGCGTTACGAATGCCATAACTTGCACGTGCATTTTGCTTTACTGGTTTCCTCCATGCCATTTTTGAACAAGGGTGAAAACAATGCCGTTTAAGACATTGCAAATCGACATTGCCAGCGTTTTGACGCACCGTTTGTCGAATATCAGGCCACCAACATTTTCCAATAACATATATCCAATTTATATACCGGACCTTTTGTGTAGTCAGTCTGTGCGTTTCTTTTTTTGAAGAGTGTATGTTTGGCTTTCCTTATTTCTTCACATTATATTACTGTCCGTCCACATGCTCATATGCGCTTACATGACTTTTGTGTGTGAGAATTTTCTACCTGTGTAGATTTGCAAATGTTGCACCGAGTGATCCCCGTTCACATGCACCAGTATACATGTGTACATTTGCATACCTGTTTAAATATACATACCTGAGTATACTTGTGATGCGAATCCGTTTACTCATGCATGTATAATTTTGTATATGTAGTGATCGTAGGTTTCCGGAGGTCTTCGGAAAGGTTCGAGTTGGTCGTCCCGTGGTTGACCGCGGGAGACCCCCCAAAATAGAAGAGAGTTGTCAGCTAGACTGGTTCCCGTTCGTTCCTGCGACAGATTGGAAAGCGGAATAAGTGCAGCGACACCAAGTGGAGGATCCGGGAACCAGTCTAGTTGTCAGCCATCGTTGTAAGTAAACCAGGCCAGGTCGAGTTCCTAGTTCAATGCAGTATTGACTCATATACTGACAACAGTGGCTCTGTGAACAAACGGAATTTTCTCGGGAAATTTTTTTTCTTCTCCGAAATCGTCGACTGCGGTGCACCCGACTCGCCTAGAAAAATCTGACCCGACTCGCCTAAAATATATATATATAATATTTTGGTATGCGTTTGGCAAATATAACTTAGGTTAGGCCTAATGATCACAATTACTAGTAAACACAAGTATTTGTCTTCTGTCATATTTACATCCTAGAAACATACATTAAAAGATCACTTAAGTCTTTACATACCTCATGGGTTCGTTATATCCATCAAATAATAAATCCATAATTCATATCCTGAAGATAACACAACGTACGTTGCAGTTGCACCACCACATGTTCACTAAACTGGCATTTGTATTTTTTCCCGGAGTTTCGAAGAATTCTCGCCTTTGATTGGTCAACGCAGATATCAATGCTAAGTGACAACTATTTGTTATCATAGTACAGTAATCCCGTGATGAACTCTGTTGAGTTTTCTCAGGTAATCAGCTCAATTTGAAACAACAACGTTAATAGATTGGTATTATTTTTTTTCGCCCAAACAAATCAATCAGTGATGTGATGTCACCGAGAGTGACACCGATTGTATCAAAACAACGCCATGACATCGTTTACTCAATCTAGAAATGTTCCCAAAGCAATATAAAAACGATAAAATTCATTATGAATTTCTGATAGTTACATACCTATTCTAAAATACGAAAACCGACCGTAGTTCGCTCAAAAATCTTTTAGGCGAGTCGGGTCGAAATCTCTTTAGGCGAGTCGGGTGTACCCCCTCGACATTGCCGCCACGCCGTCGTCATCTTGCTTGTCTTGGCTACAGGACGAGAGGGATTTTTGCTAAAGTTGAATGAAACTTTCGCATTTTGCTACGGATTGAATTCTTTTTTGCCCGGTCAGTACCATGCGACTTTGTTAGTAGTAATTTCTTTTCACGGCCGGTTCCGTATCGGCTGGTAAATTGATAGCTCACCGCACGTGGTGAACTGCGTGCGTTGATGAAGTACGGCAGTTTTCGTGGCTGTGCACAGTAATAATAATTAGGAAACAGTTGCTTGTCAGAAATTCATGTTCTTATTTAATTTTTGACCTTTTCACATGCATAGTTGTGTGTGATAGTTGGTGACAGCTCGCAGCGGATGTTTGTTTACATTGTCTTGCGAGTGTCACCTATTTTCGACACTGACATGTAAGTTCGTGAGTTTGTACATGTCATATCAAATAGCATTGTAAGGTAAAATAGGAATAGTACTGTTATTTTCATTAGGATTAATGGTATTTTGTTAGTATAGATAAATATTGTATTCAGGTAAATTGGTTTTTGTCATTTTATGAAGTATTCTACACACTGTTGGGAGATAAGGGGATGAGTCAATTATGCTGAACTATGTGAAATCCAGGGGATTGATAAATGACTGGCGCAGAAGATCATAAACATTAGAACTTCGGAGGGCAATCAGATCCTTGATGATGTCCCCAGTTTAGAGGGATTTTATGACAGTGACGAGGTGGTGATACCTGCGACGGTTGGTTCCACGGCAAGTGTGTGGGAATCATAGCGGCGATGGCGGAGACGATAGTGGAGTATTTTTGCCCGGATTGCCAATAGATGAATAGGATGACCGGGGACAAGTATGGGACAGACATTCATTCCATATTGAGGGAACGCATGCCATCAGATCAACCCCTGCAATGATTGGGGGGTAGCAGCCCTTGTTGCAGCCATAGCCTGACTTCGGTACCACGAGCTGTTGCGGCAGAGAGTGGACAATGCCCAACAGGTGTATTGGCCAGGAAATCGCCCCCAAACCCATTGGAAAATGGCGTATTCCTGGCAATGGATCTGTCGGGAAATGTCAAAGGTTGGTCGTCCCTTGGATGACCGCGGAAGACCCCCAAAAATAGAAGAGTGTTGTCAGCCATCGTTGTAAGTAAACCAGGTCGAGTTTCTAGCTCAATGCAGTATTGACTCATATACTGACTTGACAAATTGACAGCCCTTGTATGTGAGTATAAAACAAGGTTTGTGAAACCGAGATATTGTTTTCACAACATATATTTATATCCTGAGCAAATTTGCACCATGTCTCAAGTAGGTGCAATTGTAACTTTACACAAGTGCAGATTCCACCTCTCATATCACTTGCAATAGCCTCAAACAAAATGGCGTCGCCCAGTCAAGACGATCTGATCGATAATCAAAATCTATATTGTGATAAAACGGGTCTTTCTTTGCCAAGTGCATCAAATCACGTGAGCACCTTGATTAAAAACATGAAAAGGTTGGGTCAAAATCTGTTGATGCCGAGTTGGCTTTCCAAAATGTGCAATCAACCGAAATCTACACAGCAGTTTACGAACCAGATGTCGATATCGTTACGCGATATTGATTGGACTACACATAGACTCGTTAGTCCAGCCAAAATATAACTCCATAATTGCAGCCTAGTTCGGCAAGGGTGGAAACTAGACTTTATAATCACTTAACTCCCTTGTCTTGGGAAGATGGGAGTATCCATGTTAAACTGCTGCATGGTATCACGAGTGCGGGCGCACGCACGCTTGCGTGCATGCTTTCAATTGCTTTATAAATGAATTAATCTGGAACGAGAAGTTGAACCCCAATTCACTTCACCTCACATTCGTTCAACATATTGGTTCATTTCTTTAAGTTCTAATAGACAGTCCCAATAACAGCGTGCATTTATGCTTTTTCGTGATTTGTCGTGAAAAGTGAACTACTGATTTTGGTTAACTGTGAATTTTGATTCACAAAATGTTTTGTTATTTGGAAATTCCGTATTCGTTGCCTGTAGTTGTCACTTTTCCTAATCTCGGAATGCAGAGTACCTAGCTTTGCAAAGTTTTGTATATCAACTATGATGTACCTAGGTATCGAGCCCTGTGAAGACCCGGGGTAGAAGAGGTCTGCAGCAATCATGCTTAACGTAAAGGGCGACTGCTCTTGTTGTAAGAGGAGACTAACGGGATCGGGTGGTCAGACTCACTGACTTGGTTGATGCATGTCATTGGATCCAAATTTCGTGGATCGATGCTCATGACATCGATCACTGAATTGTCTGGTCCAGACTCGATTCTTTACGGACCAACGTCAGTTTGCTGGAATATTGCGGAGTTAATCAACAAACAAACAAACCAACGAATCGTTTCTGCAGTGCTATAAATATCTCCATCTTGCACATATCAGTTGCTGTGCTACATACGTTAATGAACGTATTTATTGTTTAATGTATTTATTGTTTAATGTATTAATTGTTTAATGTATTAATTGTTTAATGTATTTATTGTTTGAAGTATTTATTGTTTAATGTATTTATTGTTTGAAGTATTTATTGTTTGAAGTATTTATTGTTTGAAGTATTTATTGTTTAATGTATTTATTGTTTTGCAGTTTCTATTAAGGGAACCCAAGGTACGGCACATCCTATCATTCCTGTCTCTACTTGCAAGCATTGTCTGGCTCTTAAGTGGTAGGTGTAAATGCTGTTGTTTATGCACACCATTTATCAGTCAGCATCAAGCACAATTTCCTGTGCTCCAAATTGCAATATGCCAACCTAATTGTTTTCTTGTTTAGCATTGGCTTTCAGTATGATATCAGACCGGAAGATCCAGGTTAGTGTAGGTCTTCCTTGTTTTGTCAATGTGAACTTTAAAGCCAGAAAATCTGGCACAGAAACTGAAAACCGGTAGTACATTATAGAGGCATTGTTCTGAAGGGGTTAGGGAACAACTTGAGTCATCTGCAAATTGTGAGAGTAAATATTCAATATTACCTATCTTAATAGATTTAACTTAGTGTTGTTTATAATCATTATTGCTAGTATTTCAGCACATAGTATAAAGATAGAGGGAGACAAAGGATCACCTTGTCTGCAACCTATAGATTTTTTTTACAGTGGGGATCCAAAGCCATCAACTAGTACACATGATTGAATTTCGTTGTAAAAGGTTTTTATTTATCTTCTTATTGAAATTCCGAAACCAAACAAGTTTAGTGTTTTGTCAATAAATTCCAAATCATCTGTATCAAAGCTCTTCTCAAAATGTACCTGGTATCTGATAGGTATTAGCGTAGTCCAGTAGATCATAGATTTGTCTTGTTATTTCACCTACCATAAATAAAAACATTTATCCTCGTTAATCAGAAGGTTTAAGATTTAAAATAAGCGCCAGTAACGACAGAAAAGTTGTTTAAACAATTTTTTTTATTTAACTCTCCTGAACATGATTTCATAAGGGACAGCGAAGGTGCCTTTGCCAGCGGAACCGAGTCAGACATATATGGGTTACAAAGACACATCGATGCTTTAAAATCTTTTTTATGATAATTAGCATTTGTGTTAATTTGGATAAGACCAAGGTCATTGTTATCATGAATGGAGAAATTTTATCTAAGCATCAGAAATGGAAGTATGATGGACAACTGCCTGCTTATGTACCTTCATAATAAATACTTAGGATTAACGTTTAATAAATCTTTATCATGGTCCAGACATTCTGTTTGGTGTTTTTAAATGTGGTCAATACTTAAACCAGTACCATTTTATTTATTTTTCAAAATATTTGGCACAAACATGAGTCCAATTTTACCTTATTGGGCAGAAATATGGGGTGCAAATCGTGTAACTGTACATTTGTTGGCCTGTTGGCGCTTCCTGAATCTAAAAAGTCTACAACTGTACATCATTTTGTTAGAGGTGAATGTGGAAGATACACATTTTGTATTTATGTCAGTAAACGCGTTGTAAATTGTTGGTGAAAAACTTTAAATATACCAGACTCAAGGTTTGTTATATTTGTTCCTAAATGATGCACACAATGGTAAAACAAACTGAACCTCCACAGTTAGACACTATTATTATGCTCAGGTTTTGGCTATCTATGGGAACAACAGTCGGTTCCAAACATATCAACATTTTAGTCAGAATTCTTTCAAAGAAACTATCATACAATCAGTATTGTCATTGGACATTAACTGATGACTCAAAATGATATGATTAGTCGTTGTATAAATTTAACTTCAATACCGAATACTATATCTCAGCTCGAACATGTTATTAATTTAGAAACGCAATGGCACAATTGAATCAGGAAGGTTCACTGAAGAAAAGAGGGACGATAGAATATGTGTTAATTGAAAAGAGAACTATATAGAATACGAACATCATTTTATTTTGATGTGTAAAACACATCATGATCTTAGATCCCAGTTGATAGCACCAACAAATTATACCTATGCTACTAGACATGAGTTTAATGTATTAATGTCGTGCACTAACCTATCGCTGCACAAATATAAAGCAAGGTCTATAAGAAACAAACTGCCACTCTGAGTCTCCAACTCCCTGTATTACCACTGTGTCAGGGGCCTACAATACTGAATGAATAAAGTTGATCGATTAATCAGGAGGTTTAACACAGATTTTCCCCTTTATGATGTGGTTTTATAGAATACTGATAGTAAGATTATTGGCGCCAGTTTTACAAATATTGTTTTAGTTGATTTCCTTTTGGGAAACAGGTTATTAATTCGTGGCTTTGTGATATTGATAATAGTCCGTTATTGTAAGCTTCATTTAAAGATTTCATTAGATATTTCTCAAGGTCATTCGGGGAAAAAATCTATCAGGTTCAGGACTCTGGTTTGTTTTTGCATCAACAGACATCCCGATATTTACCCTGTTGTGTTACTGTCATTTGTTTACAGATAATTAATAATGATTCACTTGTTCTCATCGCTGTATGGCTTCATTGTTGCCGATGCGATATCAAAGTTTAACTCACTAACTCCCTAGCCTAGCCTAGCCTAGCCTATGTATATTTCTGTCAAATACAATGATCATTGTGATTCATAACTCACTCCTTTTTTTGTGATAGAACATGTGACAGCATGTCCATCGAACAATGTTATGATTTTGTAAAAACCCTGGTCAATTTTTTTTTCCCAGTGAGATCTCAGAATGAAATCCTACAAGGGATGTTTTCGAAAATTTCAAACGATGGGTTTAATGTAATATGTATGAAGATCATTTATTGAAAGTTTGGAAGCATTTCAGCCTATAGTTTCACAGAAGTTTTTGGAAGGACGCCAATTGACGCGACTTTTCATCTGGAATGGAGAACAAAAAATGTTTATCATATGAGCTTTTATAAGGTTGTCATATTGTAATATATAAATTTATAACAGGACATGGTACTTGATTATCCATTTACTTCATTTTCAATATGAAAGAAAGAAATACACGCAAGACTTGCTCTGCAAAAGCAACAAATCTTATCTGTTCCTCTCAAAATCTATGATATGTACGAGTATTGCTAAGTAAACAATATCAGCTACACATAATTGATTTGAAATGGTTTAATGCCTTTGTCTTTTTCAGGTGCCAGTGCGCAGGGTTTAGAGCGTAAGTTCGTTTTGATCAATCCTTTTCTTTCAACTTTTAAATTAACTCTACTTTTCAAAATGTCTGTACGTTCTAGAAATGTCAAACCTTGTTGACTTTTTTTCTGGTTTGCCTTCATTTTCAAAGTTCCAGGATTTTCCCTTGTATTCACGTTCGACTATATTTGAAGGGTGAGAAGAAGTCAGTAATACAATCATTTGTCTTCTTTGCCACTGTATTAAATATTCATGATCGCATACAATGAGAGAGTGAGTGAGTGAGTTGGGTTTAACGCCGCTTTTAACAGTATTCCAGTTATATCACGGTGTGTCAGCTTAATCTGGGAGGAAAGCCCGAAGTGATGCAGGTATCAGACGTTTACCACTTCGGTGAAACCCACGAGCATGCGTAAGGTGCTGACAAACCTAGAAACATAATCGGGGCGAACTGGGATTCGAACCCATGATCATAGGTTTCTGGCGTGTCCAAGGGACGCAACTATTCACAGAGAATCGCGGCGCTTTAGACGACTGGGCCACCCGTGCCCCCTGATCGCATACAAAATTAAAGGAGTGCTAGGGTCTGGCGTCTACCCAGCTATCTGACACTGTTCATTGAGGCTTATTACTACCAGTGAATCAGTTTACTAGCTTATGCACCTGCGTGGGACGAAAGGCTTGGCTACTGCCTGAAGGACAGCAGAAAATGACTTTGATTTTTAGCACTGATTGTTTAGCGCAGATTCCATTAACATTTCCATGTTAAAAAGGGCGCACAATGATTTCTTCAACATAAACGATCAGAAAAAACTAACACTCTTCAGATGCCCTTTGTTGAAATAGTAATCAGCTTTCTCTTTGCGTGGATGACTGCAATTAATATCGATTCCATTTCTATTTTTCATTGCTTTATACTTATATCTGTCTATAGACCTATACTATTAGAAATGAACATGCATCTGTCTATAGACCTATAATATTAGAAATGAACATGCGGTAAAACAGTTTCCAGTCCCTAACTTGAGCCCATTTTCCTATCTGTTATTTCTTTTGGAAATATGGTATGTTCATCTTGTTGGAATCGGCTGTGTAGGCTTGTGTACAGACTTCAGAAATGCCAAGCATTTAGAAAGGGTGGCTGTTCAGTGTCACAATATCAGGTTAGATATGAGACTCTATACTATACTCAACAACAAAAGTTCCTGTGACACCAATATTTTAGTGTATTTTTCAAGCAAGTAAAGTTTGGTTTTCAATATTGTAGTACATGTATGGAATCAAGTCACAAAATCGCAACTGCTACAGAAAAGCATGCATTCCATGCAAAAGTTGTCTTTTATGCAAGCCCCATGCATTTCACTACCAAAGAATTGGTATCAAAACATGTGCGTTAACGGGGTTCCATATGCATTGTTTAGCATCGTGCTGACAACAACCACTCAGAAAAACAACAAAAGTACGCAATTATTCAACATTACGAAATGCCACGCCTGTCCGAAAATGAGCATCTGCAAGCCATTGGTATGCTTGAAGCAAGATTGTTGCAAGACAATTAACGTCCACAGAAACACCATTTAGTGTTTATGGCAACGTTGGCAACAGACGAATGCAGTCAGAGACCATCCTCGGAGTGGCAGGCCACGCGTTACCAATAATTGACAAGACAACTGGATTCAAACAACACACCTACGAAATAGATTCCAGCCAGCAACAGTGACTGCAAGAAGAATCCCTGGCCCTCAACGAATATCTTCACAAACCGTACGTTGCCGCCTCTGTTATGCAGGGATTGTCGCCAGAAGACCCACCAGACGTCCCATATTCACAGGAAACCACCGTCAAGCACGTCTACAGTGGTGCAGACAGCATCTACACTGGATTGCCATGCAGTGGGGACAGTTCTATTCACTGACGAGTCGAGGTGAATGATACGTCAATCATTGTGTCATGGAAGAAGATTGGTTTGGTGGCGGCAGCGTTATGGTATGGAGTGGGATGACAGCAAGACAGAGGACCCTTAGTGGCAGAGGGAAATCTCAATGGACAGCGCTACCGCGACAAGATCATCGGCCCTGTTGTTCTACCATTTTTGCGTCGTCATGGCCCAGGCATTACCTTTCAACATGACAACGCCCGGCCTCATATTGCTCGACTTGTTCAGGAATCTCTTCAACAAAACGTGAATGTCATCCCCTGGCCGGCTCACCAATCGAGCACATGTGGGATGAGATGGATTGGCGCCTTCGAAGTCAACGATGTGTTCCACAGACACTCCAGGAACTTCGAAACATGCTCCAGCAGATATTGACAGATATCCCGCCTGGTCCAATCCATGAGACGAAGATGTGTTGCTTGCATCGCAGCCAGAAGTGGACAAATGCTATTGATTTGTAAATTGACATTTTGGCATGTTCATGGTTTTTTTATAAAATCACACATTTTCTGAAGGCAGTATGGCAAATTAAACCATTTGAACACTTACAGGAGTCTTTTGTCTGTTGCAAACCGAAATTGTTTCAGATTTGGTAAAAAACATAACTTTGCATTCAATCTTATTCAATGTCACAAGAACTTTTGTTGTTCAGTATATTTCTGCCCAAACATACCACGGAGCTTGGTGAAACAAGGGTGCAAGAGTCTCTGCCCAAAACTGGATTAAAAAAAGTTTCCCTTCGTAGGAAATTTGAGATACTGTCTCTCCATTGGGTGCATTGTTACCGGGTAATAGTCATCTTCCGGGTCCAGTTTACACAAGGATATCCCCTCCCTAATACTATACAGCTTCCATTTTGAGATGTAACAGTAACCACTGGATAAAATATCTTTTCAGTTTCTAAATATTTTCCACACGACAATTCTATCAAAATTGACATGTTTATTTCCTGAACCATTTGTTGTTGTTTTTGCAGAGGGCATTGTGATAAATGTCACCAGCGGTAACCCAATCAACGTAGCAGAAAGGGGGAATTTGACTATCACTGCGCTCTGCGAATCTGTTCCGAATGCATCTCACAAAACGTTGATCAGGAACGATGCTTTCGTGGTGCCATCTTCAGTAAACTGCACGTGTCACATGACGCAGCCGAGCTGCACATTTACGATCAGAAATGTGGATCGCAGCCACTCTGGCAATTATTCAATCTACGTCAACAATTCGCAAGGAGAACACAAGAGTATCATTACCAGAGTTAATGTACAATGTAAGTACATGTGTGTCGTGTGTGGTAGAAATAATTTGTACATTGTTTCATATATAATTATTATACACAGCGCATCTATTGGGTCAACCCTATACATCCTGGACTGAAAAACAAATTCCAAATATAACAAAAGACATGTTGGCTGAAAATGAATGTGGTGTTGCAGTTCCAAATTCATAACAATGAAAACTGATTCAGTCAAATTGAAGCCAATGAGTCGAGCATTCAAAGGGAACACTGTGACATCATGTCCACCAAACTACTGTCACACTTAGGAATTCCAAAAGAGTCAGAGTCTTGTGTAACAACTGTTTCTTATCCCATCGATAAGCCTGAGGTTTGGCGTTCCAACCCCGAATGAGAGCTTGTAGAGTGCCAGGATTATATGGGTAATGGAAACACAGTGCCCAAGCTAGAGTCAGGAGAGCATGCAGGTTACTGAATCCTGTGCATGCCTTGTTGAACTGACCACATTTGCACGATGTTGACCAGCGTTATTGTCCTGAAAGATCCTGGCACCTCTAGAAGGACACAGTCTTATGAATAGTACCATGGTTAAGATCAGTAACCCACCTCTGTAGCTTTGTGCAGTGGGATTCCTAACAACGTGTAAGTGTGCCTTTGCAGTGGAGGTTATTTTGCCCAAGCACATATTGGACCCATCACGCAATCTATTATAAGTTACTATAGACTACAGCGACATCCTGTAAACATTTAGGACATTATATGTAAATATAACTACGGCCACCATGGAGGGATCGAACCTGATCTCTGATGAGAAGGACATGACATCCACTGACGTTGCTTCCAACGCAGATGACGTCAGGACCATAGCAAGCATGTTTGCCTGTGACGTTGTCACTGCTGGAAGTTAAGAATGAAGGCTAGCAGAATTCAGTATGCTTCTTATGGAGGTCAAGCGAATTCTAACCTCTGTGGCATCATAGAGACCATCTCGTATGTGACGTGGCCTCATAAATCTGTAGCACAGAACATGGTTAATATGGTTTTGCAACTTGACCAGCCACGTCTTGGAGCAGCGTCTTACACTATAGTTCCAGTGGTTAACTATCACGTTCGGTACAATTTTGTTGAGAGCGCTCTTGTATCGTTTATACTTGTGAGCATATTGTTGTCTTTTTCATTTTTAGTTGGGATTGTTCACTAGCCAATATATTAGCATATTAGAGCGGGGCGCTTATTACGTCGAATACGGTATACATTAAAAAGATGCAATATTTCATGGACTTACTGGTGACCAAAACCTGACATGAACATCCCCCATTTCTAATTTGGTCAACTCCTGTGAAAACCCCATCAACTTAATGAGAGCGTTTAGCAGCACTCAGTCTTAATTACTGGGTTGGGGCACAACCCAACCCAATATACCAACTAATAACAGATATGTATCAGAATACAAGAAAAGCAACAATTTATAAAATCCAAATTAAGCCTCCTACTTTACTCACCTACATGGACAACTACTAACAAGCAGCAAGTTAGACAACAACAAACATTCAAACAAACCACTAACAAACTAGCCAACATACTATGCACCCTCACAAATACTTATATCCACGACACGCCCAACCACAAACCGACAAATTTCAAACAACATTCCGTAAGAGGCGACTAACATGATCGGGAAGTCAGGCTCGCTGACTTGGTTGATGCATGTCATCGATCACAATTGCGTGGATCTATGCTCATGTTGTCAATCAATGGATTGTCTGGTCCAGAATCGATTTCTCACAGGCCGCCGTAAGAAAGTTGGAATATTGCTGAGTGCGGCGTTAAACAACAAATAAACAAGACTAAACCTGGTGTTTAACGATAATATACCAGGCCCTCCTCACAACCTTCACATGGAGCATTATACTCTACTTTATTTCCAAATACTCGTTTTTGAACTAGATGATTTTGAGCAAACTCATGTCTGGATGTCTCTGCATGCTTGAAAAAACAAGTACTATCACTGCAGTTTCGAGAACAACAGCTAGTGTGTTAGCTTATGAATAATCAAAATGAGATATTGATTATAAAAACCTTTTCTATTCTGTACCAAATAAAATTGTATTGTCTATATCTATTGACATCCATATGACCGTGAAGCTGTGCATATAGTTGCTTTAGTGTTCACGAAACCATCATCTGCAAACAATTATAAAACGTTAACCCAAAACATGTTTGCTCTTTTTCAGACGCCCCAATCTGTATCTGGCTTCAACCCCTGCAGATGTCGGTCATAGAGTTCGAGAGAGTGACCTTTGATGTATCCATACCAGTGCCGAACCCCCCTGTCTCCTCCGTCCAGTGGCTGTATCAGGGCAGCCCCATCAACATGACCAACCCCAGTTACAGCGGCGGCACAGTCGCCACACCACCTCTTACTATAGGCCGAGCAGTCAGGAGCGACGCCGGGGTGTACAACTTCACGGCTAGCAACATCATCGGGGGGCTCACACAATCAAACTGCACTACCAATCTCACTGTTTACTGTAAGTACCTTTCATACATGTAAAACGACGGGTGGCCCAGTCGTCTAAGGCGCCGCAATTCGCTGTGTAGCGTCCTTTGGGCACGCCAGAAACCTATGACCGTGGTTTCGAATCCCGGTTTATGTTCTTATAGGTTTGTCAGCACCATATCCGAGCTCGTCGGTTTCAATTAAATGATAAACGACTGAGACCTGCATTACTTTGGGCTTTCCTTCAACATTAAGGTGACACACCGTGATATAACTGGCATACTGTTCAAAGTAACATTAAACCTCACTCACCCACTCCTTGATCCATGGGGCATTTGTCACAAAACGTGATGACAATAGATATCATTACATCTTCAAATCTTCGAGGCAGTTTGTCAAAAATGAAAGCCAATATCATCTGAAAGAGTGAGTGAGTTGGGTTTAACGCCGCTTTTAACATTATTCCAATTATATCACGGCGTGTCAGCTTAATGTGGGAGGAAAGCCCGAAGTGATGCAGGTCTCGGACGTCTACCACTTCGGTGAAACCCACGAGCACGAAAACCTAGAAATCATAGGTTTCTGGCGTGCCCAAGGCACGCAACTCTGCACAGCGAACCGGGGCGCCTTAGACGACTGGGCCAGCCATGTCTTAGAAGTCTAATTTAGTTGTGGGTTATGTCAATGAAATAATATTGGTCAATTAGCCACATCCCCCAACAGATTTATCCACCTGAACTAGTAATAAAAGAGACCCATTAACCGCCTCATCTTTCATATTCAGATCTATACTTTAAGATTCTGAGTGACAAAATAACTCAAAATAAGACTGTATGATAAGAGGGGTGACTTCAATGTTCCAGTTGTCAACCTTCCCCTTAAGTCGAGCAATATTCCTGCAGCTCAAGCCTTTCCAAATTTGACACATCTGTGACCAAAATGGTGTCCAATGCAATACCCCTTTTTGACTTCCTCTTCATGTGTGACAGGTGTCATCGGTTGGACAGGATACGCTCACCTTTTCGCGGCAAATGGCATCGTCAATATTTTATAGTGATTTAGAACCTCATACTTCTGAAATGGCCAGACACACACAGTGAGGTCTGCGTTTAGCAAATTATTTATTATTATTAGGGCTCCAAGCCGAAAGGCTGTAGAGCCCTATTGTAATCGTTCGATTTATTATTAGGGCTCCAAGCCGAAAGGCTGGAAGCCCTGTTGTAATCGTTAAATTTATTATTAGGGCTCCAAGCCGAAAGGCTGGAAGCCCTATTGTAATCAGCCGATTTATTATTTATTATTATTATTATTATTATTCCGCCAATTTTTGTACCAGGGCTAGCAAAGTAACTAGTCGCTCGATTTTCAAATTTTGTATGTGTATGTAGACAGTGGAGTTCTAGTTTCCACAAAATTCCAAAGGTCGTAGGCCCAACGACAAAGGGCAGATACCTGAAAAACAAGTAATTTTTGAAGCCACATTTTGCCCCATTGCTTCGCAACCGCTTGGCCTATTACTTTCAAACTTTGCATGTGTCTGCTGCTTTAGGTGCTTAACATTTCATAGTCTTTGACTGTGGTCATTGGTCACCTGGTTTGGCAGCAAAATTGAAATTAAGGTTTTCACAGTGTCTTTTGGGTACCTGTCTTCAAATCCTATCTCCTCTGAATCCACTGCATGAAATGCTTTCAAACTTCCTGAGAATTATCTCCATACATAACACATCGAACCCTGATAGCCGGTTTTGGATTTGGTCATGTGGTTTGGCAGCCATATTGGATTCAAGGTTTTCACAGGGCTTTTTGGGTGTATGTCTTCAAACGCATACTCCTCTGAATGCACTGAATGAAATGCTTTCAAACTTTCTGAGAATGGTCTCCATATATAGCACATCAAACTCTGTTACCCGATTTTGGATATCTTTTTTAGTTGTGGCCATATTGGATTCACAGTTTTATCAGTGTCTTTTGGGTACCTGTCTTCAAATGCATACTCCTCTGAATCCATTGCATGAAATGCTTACAAACTTTCTGAGAATTGTCTCCATACATAACACACCAAACTCTGTTAGCCGTTTTTGGATATCTGTCTTAGTGACGGCTCTGTTTGATTTTCATTTTGATGATTTCTTTCACCGAATTTTTCCTTTATATAAAAATCACATCTTGTAAGGTTCTCCACAGAAACTATTGAAAGTTTACATGAAGTTAGTCGGACATATGTACCTCATCTTTTGTTTCTGGTTGCATGCTAAAAGTAACACCGCCTGGTGGTAATATTGACAAAATACCGAATAAATCGCTCAGAAAACCTATGATTATCTCCCCCTGACCGTCAAGTGTCTTTTGCAGTACGTATACTACCATTGAAGATGAGGGTTAGAATTGGTCTTCAGCAACCCATGCTAGTCTCAAGAGGCGATTATCGGGATTTGAACATTGTCTGGGTGGTAAATGGGTTTAGAACACTCTGGTTAACTCTGGCACACACCAATTTCGTAGAGGTGATGTCATGCAAACGGTGACTATTTGTTGACGGAGTTGGTACAGGCAAACCCTTTGAGGATTCAAACATGAGGATTCGAGGTCGGAAATGGGTTAAGAACTCACTGGGACATATGTGGTGATGTCTCGCAAGCGGTTCCTTACGTTTGACGGAGATGGTACAAGCAAACCATATGCGGATTCGAACATGGACGGCGTCTGAAATGGCTGCAGAACATCCCGGGACGTTCTGGGACACGTCAATGTCGTAGCGGCGATGTCTCCCAAGCGTTTCCTTGCTTTTGACGGCGTTCGGGATTCGAACATGGACGAGGTTGGAAACAGGTTCGGCACTATATCTCACAGAAACCTGGGGTCCTGGCAAACTCAGAATGCTAACTCGTTTGACTGTAGATTAATTGATAAAGAAGTTATAGCCTGTTAAAGAGTCACCAAGCCGAAAGGCTGAAGAGCCCCAGTGTTATCATTTGATTTAATATTATTATTATTCCGCCGATTTTTGTACCAGAGCTAGCAAAATAACCACTGGTTCGATTTTGTTCAAATTTTTTATGCGTATGAAGACTGTGAGTACTAGATTCCGCCAAAATCCCAAGGTTGTAGGCCCAATGGCCAAGGGCAGATAACTTAAAAACAAGTAATTTTTTAAGCTATATTTTGCCCTATTACTCCGCAACCGCTTTTCCGATTACTTTGAAAACTTGCATGTTTCTGTTGCTCTGGGTGCTTGACATTTTTTGTTCTTTGACTTTGGTTATTTGTCACGTGGTTTGGCAGCCATATAGGATTCAAGGTTTTCACAGTGTGTTTTGGGTACATGTCTTCAAACGCAAACTCCTCCGTGCCCACTGCATGAAATGCTTCAAAACTTTCTGGGAATTCTCTCCATACATAACACATCAAACGTTAATAGCCGATTTTGGATATCTTTTTTAGTTACGGCTGTATTGAATTTTGATTTTGATCATTTTTTTCAACGAAATTTTACTTTAAAGATCATATCTTGTAAGGTTGTTGACAGAAACTATTACAAGTTTACATGAAGTTAGTGTGCCATATGCATCCTATTGATTGTTCTTGGTTGTATGCTAAAAGTAACATTGCTGGGTGGTAATATTTGATTAATATTTGGGACCCCCCCTGGAGCATGCCAATTTCGTAGCGGCGATGCCCAGTGACTAGTTTTTGACGGAGTTGGTACAAGCAAACCCTTTGGGGATTCGAACATGTTCGAGGTCGGAAATGGGTTAAGAACAGACTTGGACACTCTGGCACACGCCAATTTCGTAGCGGTGTTACCCTGCAAGTGGTGCCTATATGTGACAGATTTGGTACAAGGAAACCCTTTGAGGATTCAAACATGGACGTTTGTGCACAGTGTAACTTGGAGCCCGCCATTGCTGCTTTGCAGCTATGTTTATTATTATTATTATCGTGGAAATACTTTTGTTGCTTTTATTTGTGTCCAGAGTTGCCTAAGGTAAACTAAATTAGCAAAATATCCACATCAATGATTTTACACTATAAGAGCTATTACTTGTCAGGCAGATCGTCACACCACTACAACCGTGAGTGAGTGAGTATGGTTTTACGCCGCTTTTAGCAATATCCCAACAATATCACCAATATGGGCTTCATACATTGTACCCATGTCGGGAATCGAACATGGGTCTTCGACGTGATGAGTAAACGCTTTAACCACAAGGCTACCCGACCGCCCCCTACAATCTAGAAGCGTCATTACTTCATCATCATTGCATTATATATATATAATTGTCAGTACTAGAACACGTTAATGATCACAACAATTGTGTTGATACCCTCGTCAACACTAAAAGCGTTTCTACCTCCAGCATCGAACGCCATTGTAAGCAGTGCTGTGGTATCAATACATTCGTCATCGCTGAAACACAATTATGACCAGTGCCATGGTATACATTTTATCGTCAACACTAGAACTTATGTATGGCCATTCCTCTAAGACCACATCAGTGTTATCAATATTGTTGTCGGTCCGTGAAGATCCGGGGTAGAACAGGTCTTCAGCAACCCATGCTTGCCGTAAAAAGCGACTAAGCTTGTCGTAAGAGGCGACTAACAGGGTCGGGTGGTCAGGCTCGCTGACTAGGTTGATGCATGTCATCGTATCCCAATTGTGTGGATCAATGCCCATGATGTCAATCACTGGATTGTCTGGTCCAGACTCCATTATTTACAGACCGCCGTCATCATGGTCATATAGCTGGAATATTGCTGAGTGCGGCGTTAAACAACAAACAAACAACAACAATATTGTTGTCATAACTAGGCGACCTTCCTCGAACATGCAAATACTGACTGGGTCAGTGGAGCAATGTTAGCACAAGAACTTCATCACACACATTTGCGGCCAATATATGATTATGATGTGTCCGTACGCAACAAAACATTTTCAATTTGACAAAATCATCACAAAGAGGTTTCCGTCACATGACGCCATTATTGCTAGTGTGGATACAGAGGCAGTTTTAGGTGAGGTGAGGTGAAATGGGGTTTAAAGTCGCGTCCAAGATTATTGCACTTATATAGCGACGTGTATGTGTGTGTGTGTGTGTGTGTGGCTGCTTGTACTAGTCCGGACAGATGCCGATTTATAGTGCCAGCACACTGAGATACCATGCCGCAGTTTAACATGAATACCCCACTCAGACACAGTATACTGACTCCGAGCCGACCAGTCCTTGTTTTAGCCCCTTAATGCCGAGCGCCAGACAGGGTAACAACAAGTACCATCTTTTAACGTCTTTTGGTATGACGCATTCGGGGATCGAACCCCGGACCTTCCGCTCTCCGGGCGGACGCTCTACCATAAGACCACGCAGTTTTTGGTAGAGCCTCTGATTTTGTATGTCTTTGATGCTTAGCAAATGATTATGTTTTGAGCTGTAACTGCAAATAACGTTTGTTTTACAGATGGTCCTGATCTAGACTGCGTGGGCCCACAAACTGTAACAATCAATGAGACGGACAGTTATACATTTGCAATTGATGTTACGTCTTATCCGATCTTATCACGTGTCGACTGGTTCAAGGGTGGAAACGTTATAGACAGAAGTGACACACGTTTCGTCCATGGTAACGTCGCCAGTCCATCCTTAACACTGAACAACGCTAATCGTAACGACACCGGGAACTACAACGTCACTGTCACAAGCGACGTCACTCGACGTTTTGTTTCTGGTTGTAATACCAACCTTACAGTTCAATGTAAGTTCCGATAGTTTTCAAATGTTCAATGATTTTTTTGTTTGTTTGTTTGTTTCTTGTTTAACGTCGCACTCAACAATATTCCAGCTATATGACTGCGGTCTGTAAATAATTGAATCTGGACCAGACAATCCAGTGATTGATATCATGAGCATCGATCCACGCAGTTGGGATCTATGACATGCAATGTTCAATGACAATGTGCGTGTATATCAGGATTAGAAACTAACAGTTTTTGGCCACTAGTCCTTATAATGATAACATATATCAAAACCCTTAAAATGGGCCAATTTCTACTAGTCCTTAGGATACCTTTACTATTGGGAAGTTTGGTAAGGACTACAGGACTAGTGCCAATTTCTAACAAAAATTAACAATAACAGGTGCGAACTTTAAGTCAATTATTAACAAATTAGAAATGAAATACATCACATTTAAAGCAATTCATGTTCATGTGAGAGATTGTCATTAAAATGTCGGGTTTCTCAGGGAAGGGCAGCTAGTCATAAAGTAATGTCAATTCTAATTACTTTTCTCTCGTTGAGCTGACAATCTCCTTATGTCCTGAGATTGAATTATATGTATCATGTTTATGACATGACATTACATTGTCAGACCGACCAAGATGTAAGCTACAACTTCCAACTCAATATGACATCACTGAAGGTAGCAGCATTACAATCAACATCACAGTGATGTCGTTACCTTCTCCAACGTTTGTGGGCTGGAACCTGAACGGCACCGCCATCGCCAGAAACAACTCTCACTACAGTGGCGGTAACGTTACAGTCCCATCCCTTACCATAAGCGACATACGGCGAAATGACACTGGGTTTTACTCCATACAAATCAACAATGTCGTGGGCGGAGTTGTAGATAACTGCCGGGTCTTCGTCCGAGTCCTCTGTAAGTATTTCTGTATTACCATTGTAGCCAGCTTGATAATGTACACTATATATGTCATACGTTTTTGCTCCTAAGCAATGAACTATGGTATAACGAAACATAGGCCAGCTAGAACGATCGCACGGATATGTCCATATGATCGCCCCAAATGACCTATATGTGTGTGTGTGTGTGTGTGTGTGTGTGTGTGTGTGTGTGTGTGTGTGTGTGTGTGTGTGTGTCTGTCTCTGTCTCTGTGTGTGTGTCTGTCTGTCTGTCTGTCTCTGTTTGTGTGTGTGTCTGTCTGTCTGTCTGTCTGTCTGTGTGTTTTACAACCTGCCCTCTAGAGTTATATACCTTAGTGTATGGTATCCACTTGTGATATTGTGATAGGTTCATATTTCTGGTCATGCAAATGTAATCTGTTATCGTTAACTTCTTCCTTCTTGGCACTTAACTTTGCCTGTTAAGAGGGCGACAAGGGTCCAAATGGTGACAGTTGCGTCCCTTGGTTTCACCGAAGTTGGTTCCCATCACACTTACGTACTGAATATTGACTCTAGGTTTGTCAGTACAATACCTGTTGACGTTGATTTCTTCAAATGTGTTGACGTCTTTGAACTATCTCACTTTTGGATTTTCCCCAAACACTAAGCTGTCATGCAGTGAGTGAGTGAGTGAATATGGTTTTACGACGCTTTTAGCAATATTCCAGCGATGTCACAGCAGGAGACACCACAAATCGGCTTCAGACATTGTACCCATGTCGGGAATCGAACCCGGGTCTTCGGCGTGACGAGTGAACACTTCAACCACTAGGCTACCCGACCGCCCCTTGTCATGCAGTGACTGAACCTACTCATTCATGATAAAGGTGAAGGAATAATCACCATTCATACATATATTGAAACAAATAATCTTATTTTGTCTTACAGATCGCCCTGAGTGCATTATCCTGTCAAACACCTCCTTATTGGTCACCGAACATTCTTCCCTAACAATCAACGCCGCCATCGACGCCGTCACGCCACCGACCGTGGTCGACTGGAAACTCAACAACATCTCTGTCAGTAGGACTGGGGGTCGGTATACTGGAGGCAACAGCTATCAGAACCCATCGTTGAACATTTTGGGTATCACACGTCGAGAAGCGGGTACATATACCCTGACTGCTTCGAACTCCGTCGGGAATGTTGTGAACGAGTCGAACTGCAGCGTCAATGTTGCCGTACAATGTAAGTAGGTTGCCCGATTCCTTTGTTGATGGTTTGTAAATGCATGTTTGTGAGGGTGTCAACGGTGAGGCAGGATATGCTCACCTTTTCGAGAACACCTTGTGTCATCACTATTTGGTAGTTCATAATTACATGCTCAAGATATAGTCGGAATCGCTTTCTTTTGAATATGGAAAGGGTTTTGCCGTTGTTATTGTTCATGCGGGAAAAACGTCAACAGGATCTTTTGACAAATTTCAGCCTGTGTATAGTCTATAGTCTTTCGGGTAAACCTACCACATACACTGAAGATATACACGTGTTCCATCTCTAGTGTATCACTGAAAATTGAAAAATCCCTTTCAACACCTGTAATCGTTTAACGTGACATCTCGTTACAGTTACCTGTACTTCTATCATCTAAAACTGACTTCCACGGGAGATGTCAGTCAATTGGGTGACAGGCAATTGTGACGTCATCGTTACCATGACGTTACAATCAAATGACGTCACTAATTACTCTCACTCCCCAGAGTTCCATGCAACCAGCATAGTACCTTAAGCTGGGCCCCGTCTCCAATATCACAATATACCAGCTTACGTAGTACCTCTGCCGTGGGCCAGCGCCATGTAACAATTTGTAACATGTCGCACAGTCCATTCAATATATTGCATATGTTTTTAACCTGTTGCATTTTTGACGAGTCTACACGTTTATAGAAACATATGTCATAGAATGGTTAACTTTCATTGAGAAAATATCCTAAAACATAAATAAGATATATTAGTTTGCACCGCCCTGTCGCAGTTGTAGAGGCATATTTATGAAATTATGCAAAATATTATGTAAAGCGCTTCGAAATGCTTGCATTAGGTCAGTTTGTTCTGATTTCAAAATAAACGCGTTCGTTTGCAAAGAAGAGAAAAGTCCGGTCACGAGATATGTAAATTATCTTGCGCCAGAGTGTGTAATCTCTCTGCACTTACAGTTAAGCTGGTTCCCGATGCCCTGTGCGCGTCGTCAACTTGCGATATTAGAGACGGGGCCCACCTTAACTTAACAATGTGTACCTAACAATCCAGAATCATTTTCAGTATCTATACGCCAAAAGACTTCAGGATATTAACTTACAAAAATGGTCATCGCATGTTTTAAGTTCAGAAAAATGCAATTATTGCAAGCTTTTTAAGACAACTATTTCCCCAGAATACTATTTGTTTGATATCAATTTTAAAAGTTTTAGAATAAGTTTAGCACAATTTATATTAGAAGCAGCTCTCATACACTGAGGATCGAAGTAGGCAGACATAGAAGCAGAGCCAGAGAATTGAGAATATGTGAGCAATGTGGTTTAAATGTGATTGAAGATGAGTTTCATTTTCTGCTTGTTTGTCCAAAATACGACCGCCTAAGAAGTAAATATATTGATCTGCCTTATGTACATCCCACTCAACACAAATTTGTATCGATCATGTCAACAACTAATGAAGATACTCCAAAAACATTTTCAATTTTCATTCATCATGCTATGTTAATTAGAATATGACCTGTTAAACAGATCTGTAACCACTCCCGAAAACAGAATTATACTATGGGCCTGAGACCTTTCAGTTTGGAATAAAACTTATCATTATCCTCAACTAAGAGTAACCTTGTGTTTTATTGGAGATAGTTTTAAAATCAAATCTGTTATAAGCGGTGCCGTAAACTGATATCCTCGAACAAGATATTTACACTGAGAAAAAGGACAGGTTTTAAATACACACACCTACCCTACTCCGTTAAACTGTTAAGATGGCCCACAACCAAATGAGTGTTTATGAAGACATATAGTCCGCAATCTCATTAAAATCAGATCTTAGTTCTCGCTTCCACGAAACAAAGATCTGAAGACATCCAATCATCCGACTGATCAGAGCGTCGCTTACCAGATTATGAAAGTGACAGTCAGAATGTGATTTCTAATCATGTAACCAAGAAAACTTTAACACGGGGTATTCCGAACGATAGTTGCGGGGGTTTAACGACTGAATCCATACAATCTAGACCATCTATTAGCCATTCCAGAATGTTCTTTTGTTCAGGTTTCAAATTTGTAATCGAGAATTTGTCAAAATATGTTTTGAAGCGTAGTCGCCAATTTGAAATTAGTGCTGTAAAGCAAGAGAAAGCTCCCTTCTGATTGGTCAATCCATGGGTGGGTCAAAGTTCGAGCAAGGTCAGTCTGACGTGACCCGTAATGGGATGTCCTCAGATCTTTGTTTAGCGGAAGCGATAACTAAGATCTGATTTTAATGAGGTTGTATAGTCCGTTGTCCTGTTAACGCTTCACAGTTTTTTAACATTGCCACCGAAACCACTCTATCTTGTGCTTAAAGGGCAAGTTCACACGGAAATGAAGATATTTTTCTTGTACTTTTTCCACATTAAAAGTGTTAACCTAGAAGTGTCATAGACAAAAATATAAAAATATCACAATTAATTAACATATTTTTTGCATTAAAACGTTTTATATTTTTCACATTTACCAAGTGTTCTATTTCCACAACAAAAACACCATGGCTTATGCCCCTTGCAATATGACGTCATTGGTGCCAATTGATAAACATTATGACGTCATCATGCTTTGTTAGAGCCGCTTCACGTGGTGTAATACAGTTTTGTGATTCGAGCGTCTCAGATGCCAGCCAGAATTGTGTTATGCTGAGTCACCACTGCGCCGGAGTGTGTTGTAGACCATGTTGTTTAACCGCAAACTGGTCCTTGATATATTTTGCGTTGAGAATAGACAGGGACCCAGTTGAATTGGCACCAATTACGTCATAATCTAAGGGGGATAACTCAGGCCTATTTCGCTCGTAAAACGAAGGCCTCATAACGACATATCATTTTAACACTATTGTGAGCTTCCTACTTTCACTGTGAAAAAAATGAGTGTATATTTTCAAACACAGATACCAATTAATTCTAAAATTGCGTTTTGTTTAGAAAAAGAAAGAAAGTGATTTTTGCATGTACACTTCCCCTTTAACGTCAAACTTTAAAACATCATCGAACTCATTCCATTAAACTTACATGGTTTGTCAAGATGTTTTCATTTTTAACCAAATTTTACTGTGAAAGTTGTAGTATGTTACTCGGATATTTGTCAATAAAGCTGCGACATCGATATCTGTGTGTGGCTCTCTATATTACGATTTTGATATTGATTTGTCGCTACACAGATAGCACATGTCGAAATCAATATCAAAATCGATAATCAATAGGGAGCCATAGGGAGAGGTATGTCAAATATTTTTTTTCCATATTTTGAATGCTGACCTTATTTGCACGTGTGGAGTGACCCCCAAAATATGTTTAGAATAACATGATCAAATGACTGAACTGACGATCCATTGATGGTAGGACTATGACTATGACTATATATATGTTGTATGATACTCAATTAGCATTGAATATAATACTTGTGTCAACATTTATTTCCTGCACAGATCTGGACAGTTGCGATAACCTCAGCTATCCGGTGTGTGTAAATGATTCAGAAACCCTTAATTGTTCGGTGAGATTTCTGCCATCCTTGAACACTGTGACGTGGAGAAAGAACGGGGCTGTACTGGATGTGTCCAGTCCCCGCTACAGCGGTGGAACTGTATCTTCACCTGATCTCACAATTTCCTCTGTTCTGCCAAGTGATGATGATGTCTACACCTGCGAAGTAGAGAACGTCGTTGGTGTAGCTGGATGCCAGATTACATTGAACGTCTTCAGTGAGTTTACTTCCATTGTGAAGTCCGTGATTAGTGATGAATCATAATGTGTAGATCTCCAGGAATTTACAGTGTAGGTGGTTATATACAATATAATTGCCTGAATTGTCTATAATTGTCTATAATATAATTGTCCGAAATGGGGATATATCATGACACGTGCCCAAGTAAATCTAATGCCCACGACAATAAAGTATTACGATTTACTTGTGTGTGGTTCCATAACATATTGACGGTTACTCCCAATAGATGAATGTATGTTTTAAGGGACCAGCCATTGGCGGAGGTGGGGGGCAGGCAGGCAGGCAGGCAGGCAGGCAGGCATTTGGAGTAAAACATTTCTTACAATCAAGAGAAAGAAACTGTTTAATCTGCATAAGTAGATAGTGAGCAGTGACCGGAAATATATTCAGTCTCTCACAAACCACCACCCCATCTCCACATGTATACTGTAAGAAGGGTCCTTTTGAGCAAAGAAGACATGTTTTGAAGAGAAGGGGTTTTTGGGGGACAGAGGTAGATGGGGATATATTGGTATGAAGAGGTAGGACGTCGGTATAAGTAACGGTGACCAGAAACATATTTTACTATTCATTACATTCCAAAATGGTGAACGCATGATTGAATTTCAGCTCGACCCATCGTCCACGTCCCAAACACGAACATAACGTTGGTTGAAGGACAAACCTCCTCCATAGGTTGCTCCGTGGACATGCGCGTGAAACCAAGTCCCGCCGTCGTTCACTGGTTTAAAGATTGCTTCAATCTCAACTCTCCCTCTGGTCGGTATGGTAATGGGGATATTAACAATCCTAGTCTGAGAATCACCGATATCAAGCGCCAGGATGCCGGGATGTACATATGTGGAGCAGTCAATGGTGTCGGCGACAGTCACTCTGCCGTCATTACTGTCACGGTGGAATGTAAGTGTAGAGATAGATGAAAATGATACAAACTATATTTTTTGTGTTGTGTTAGAGGACCAGGCAGTGAGATAGGGCGTCTAAACATATTTATTATTACACAAACTCTACTGTGAATCTGTCTCTGTCCTTTATGTCATCAAAGTCAATCAATTTTGGAGTGTTCATGAATGATAAGGGGCACGGTTGGCCCAGTCGTCCGAGGCACCGCGATTCGCTGTGCAGAGTTGCGTCCCTTGGGCACGCCAGAAACCTATGATTGTGGGTTGGAATCCCGGTTCGCCCCGATTATGTTTGTAGGTTTGTCAGCACCACACCCGTTCCTCGTGGGTTTCACCGAAGTGGTGAACGTCTGAGACCTGCATCACTTCGGGCTTTCCTCACACATTTAGCTGACACACAGCGATATAACTGGGAGACTGTTAAAAGCCAAATCACTCTCATGAATAATAATGTAGACCTAAATCAGATGCAGAAGGATAGTAACTCTATGTACGAGATATTTTACTTGAGATGTGGCGACAACACAGCGTTCAGGACTTTATTGTTTAACGCCTGATAAGCAATATTCCAACTATATGATTGTGGTAAATAATCCAGTCTTGACAAAACAAACTAATGATTGATATAATGTGCACCGTCGAGCCACGTTGACAAGCATTCAACCAAGTCATGACTTCTGACCGTCCGAACCATATAAGGACAGTCATGTCATAGGTTTCTATGGATCTATTTTAACACGTAAGCAAAATGGAGGACAGCATTAATTAAGCGTATGTGTTTTTTCGGGAGGCCAAATTGAGCTTTATCAGTGTTAAAGTGTCATTCAATAGAAAAACAGTAAAGAACAAAATAAGACACCCACTTTGCGTCTTATCGATACAAAGAGGGTCAATTCACTCACCCAGTGTCGGACCGACCCCGTGGTCTAGTGGTAAAGCGTCCGCCCGGAGAGCGGATAGTCCGGGGTTCGATCCCTGGGCGCGTCATACCAAAATACGGTACAAGATGGTACTTGTTGTTACCCTGTCTGGCGTTCGTCATTAAGGGGCTAAAACAAGGACTGGTCGGCTCGGAGTCAGTATACTGTGTCTGAGTGGGGTGTTCATGTTAAACTGTGGCATGGTACCTCAGTGAGCTAGCACTATAAATCGGCATCTGTCCGGACTAGTACAAGCAGCCACACACACGTACATGCACGTCGCTACATAAGTGCAATAATCGTGGGACGCGACGTTAAACCCAATTTGACCTCACCAAGTATCGCCTGTAAACCTTTATAAACTGAAGCGCATAACTGTGTTCATCAGTGTTGCTGTGAAAACCAGAAATTATCACCAATGATGTACACTCTGTGTAATGAAAGATGCAACAGACACATCCCGTTGCTCAGTACATTTAAATGTTGATCAGCAATGTATAAATGTAGCTTTATTTTCAGATCCGCCAACGGTCGTGGTAAAATACAATAACTACGGTTTCCACGAGGGATCTGACACAACGTTGTGGTGCTATGTCAACTCATACCCTCTCGTGTCTCCACAAAACATCACGTGGGTGCGCGATGGGCAGTTTGTGATACCCAGCACTTCCTGTAGTGACGTCAGACCCAACTTGCGGATTTGCAAAGTGGACACGAATACGGCTGGCAGATACATCTGTAGAGCCCGCCATCGACTGGCATCTGTTAGTAGCGATATCATTACTGTACACATCAGAGGTAAGAACCCGGCATATAGTGTCAAATTTTAACGTCAGTGTTAACGTCTAATAAATTCTGTACGTGGCATAGTTCCACCCAGTGGAAATAATGAAAATGGGCGTGCGCTACAGTTAGCTACATACTCAAATGCGCTACAGCCACCAAATGTTCGAAGGTACAGCTACAGTATAGGAGAATGTCCTCAATCTCACGATTATTTTCACAGGTGAAGTTTCACGAAAATAATCATGAAAATAATCACGAAAATAATCGCGAGATTGAGGACTTTCTCCTACTTAAAACAAAGTTCGATCAAGTTAATGCTTCAAACTAATCTTCAAGTGATATTCATTATACTATGCAATACTATGGGAGGGTGACCGCTCTTGTTTAACTATGAAATTTATATATTTTTTACTTATCTTGCATTACTCCTTTATGCATATTACTGCTTGTTCTTGACAGAGAAAAGAGCTGTGTGAAGGTCTTTGCTTGAAGAAGTTGCTCCAACTAGCTGAGAGGCCAGCCCATCATGCAGCTCCCACGTGACCAAAGGAAGTGACGTCACGGATCCTCACATTACTCTTGTCACTTGATGAGAGAAGACCTGTTTTTTGTTTTAACATAGAACTGATTCAAACCCTCACGTGTTTGCTATCTGAGTTAATGTTTTTTGTCTTTGTGTTGTGCCTATGGTTTGTATTTTGTACATTCTATGTTTGAGACACTTACTGGCGTTTTCTCAAATGAAAACATAATGCCAGGTGTCTTGTTGTTCCAAGTAGCCATCTTGAATATTTTACGTAGCCAGCAGTTAGTGAACTGGTTTGCATTCTATATTCTTTTGCTCATCAGCCTGGATATCGAGGACGCCTACCTATATGTCCCTATACATCCCGACGACCGGAAATTCCTCTGCTTCATCTTCATTGGAGTCCATTATCAATGGGCGGTCCTCCCATTTGGAATTTCTTCTGCCGATAGCCTCGTACCTCCATCGCCGGGACATCCAGTTCGAGGCGTACATAGACAACTACCTACTGGACCATTGGAACCCTGTCACACTTTTCCGCTACAGGGACTATACCCACCTACACCAGCTGGGGTGGAAGATCAACATCAGGAAGTCAGAGTTGACACCCTCCAAGCGCCTTCAGTTCATTGGGGGCCTCTTCCAGACGGACCTCCATCTTGATCTCATCTCTGTTCCCAGAGACAGGTGGGAGCGCATGCAGGCGCACCTGACTCCAGCTCTCCACCTACCACGCACTCCGCGTCAATGGCAAGTCCTCCTGGGTCTCCTAACCTCAGTGCAGGACTTAACCTACAGAGGAAGGCTAAAACTGCGCCCAGTTCAGATGTTCATGGCGCCCTACATCAGGCGCAAGGACCCCTCTGTATCCATCGTGCTCCTGGATCATCTCAAGCAGCATCTCCGGTGGTGGACGGTGGAATCAAATCATGTCCTGGAGGGACAGGTCATCTCAGGGCTGTGGTCCGCCGATCAGCGCCTATGGCACATCAATAACCTCGAACTGGAAGCACTTGTCTTGGCCATCGCTCACTGGAAGCAGGCCCTCAGACACGCCCGGCTCTCCATCTCGACGGACAACATCACTGTCGTAGGGTGCCTTCGTATGACTCATTCGACTTCGCTCCTTCAACAGATTTTCCGATTGTTTCAAATGGTGGATCATCCTTGGATTCAGTTCCAGGTCCACCACAGGGCTGCCACAGGGCTGCCGAAACATCCTAGCAGATGCCCTATCTCGGCCAGGCATAGTAGCTCCCACAGAGTGGAAACTTCACCCAGACGTCTTCGCTCTTGCTTGTCGAGACCACGTTCTCCCCAGAATAGACCTATTCGCCACCAGCCAGAACTACCAGATCCCGAGCTACATATCTCCGGTGCCAGATCCACTGGCTTGGGCAGTTGACGCCTTCAGTGTCCCCTGGGAAGGACTAAAAGCGTACGCTTTTCCACCACCTGTACTCCTTCCCAAAGTCGTCCAGAAGATCAGATCGACCTGGAACCTGGATCTGACTTTGGTCGTGCCATGGTGGCCAACGAGGGCTTGGTTTGTCGACCTCAGAGAGCTGTCCGACGTCATCCCACTGCCACTCCCAGATTGAGACCGCCCAGAGAAAGGTCCGGGTTCGATCCCCCACCGCGTCATACCAAAAGACGTTAAAAGATGGTACTTGTTGTTACCCTATCTGGCGCTCGGCATTAAAGGGCTAAAACAAGGACTGGCTTGGAGTCAGTATACTGTGTCTGAGTAGGGTATTTTATGTTAAACTGTGGCATGGTATCTCAGTGCGCTAGCACTATAAACCGGCATCAGTCCTAGACTACTACAAGCAGCCACACACACACATGTGCATGCACGTCACTATACAAGTACAATAATCTTGGACGCGACGTTAAACCCAATTTCACCTCACCTCACCTCACCACTCCCAGATTGGCCAAATCTGCTGATCCACCCTCACAGCAGACAGCCACACCCAGGACCAGACAGGTTATGTCTTCACGTCTGGTCCATTTACAGAGAGCCAAAGGCTTCCCGGCCAGAGCGGCTAGGGCCATGACGATGGCACATCGCCCAACCACCAAGAGCCTCTATGATAACAAGTGGCAATCCTTCGAGAGCTTTTGCAGGGGCAAGCACCAAGACCCCACATCTGCATCGCCTCAATTCCTGGCCGAGTTCATGCTCCATCTGTGTCACAAATGTAAGCTGAAGGGCAGTACCATCATGAACTCCCTTGTGGCGCTCAACTCCGCCCTGGCAGTTCCGAAAGATCGACTCATGACGCTTCAACAACCCGCATGAGATCCAGGCTGTCGCCTCCACCATGGCGCTACACAGCAACTGCTCTCTACGCGCCATCATGGAGGGATGTTTCTGGCGATACTACACGGTCTTTGCCAGTCACTATACCTGCGAGGTGTCGCATTGGAGGATGTGCAAGGCAGGCACAGCTTTGGTCCGTTAGTATTGGCACAGCAGGTCACCACTACTACTTGTCATTGACCACGCCTCCAAGTCCAGAGTCGGCCTTTCAACTTCCCCTGGCGTGAGCCCTGGAATAGAAGGTTCATGCCTCATTTGCATACGGCTCGGTGCTCCAGTCTCGACCTACCCGAGCATTATTGGCAGGCTGCGCAGTACCAGGACACAACGCATACCTGACTCTTCCCTTCCTTGGAGTGGTCACCTGATGCAGACCACACAGCCGAGGACGGGCTAAGGGAATTGGAATTTCCATTACATGGGGTGGTCAACAGAAGCTGACCACACAGCCAAGGATTGGCTAGGGAACAGAGTCTGGGATTAAAAGATGAATGTCCACATAAATGTCCACATGTCCGATAAAGATGCATTAAGGAGTACTGCAGGATAAGTAAAAAATCTAGTAAAATCCTAGATATTTTTTATATTTGTATACTTATCCAGCATTACTGCGTCTAAAGGAACCCACCCATCGCAGATCTACCTCCCCACGATGCCTTCGGATGTTTCGGACTCCAGAGTAATGTGAGGATCCGTGATGTCACTTCCTTTGGTCACGTGGGAGCTGCGTGATGGGCTGGCCTCTCAGCTAGTTGGAACAACTTCTTCAAGCAAAGACCTTCACACAGCTCTTTTCTCTGTCAAAATCAAGCAGTAACATGCATTAGGGGTAATGCAGGATAAGTATACAAATATAATAAATATCTAGGATTTTACTCGTTTTTAAGTGACTCATTGATCTGACGCATTTCAGTCGTGTTAGTCACTAAAAGTTTTTAAGAGACCAGATTATTTGATGCAAAAATAATAATTTAGGAAATGAGGTGAGATTCATATACAAATCTTTGTTTTGCAGATGTGTGTCCTACAATCGTTACAAATTTTACCCTAGATGTTTCCACAAGTACAAGCTCGGGGTACGTCAGTAAATTTTACCCTAGATGTTTCCACAAGTACAAGCTCGGGGTACGTCAGTATAAAGTATCAGAAAATGTTACCCTAGATGATTCCACAAGTACAAGCTCGGGGTACGTCAGTATCAAGTATCAGAAAATGTTACCCTAGATGTTTCCACAAGTACAAGCTCGGGGTACGTCAGTATCAAGTATCAGAAAATGTTACCCTAGATGATTCCACAAGTACAAGCTCGGGGTACGTCAGTATAAAGTATCAGAAAATGTTACCCTAGATGATTCCACAAGTACAAGCTCGGGGTACGTCAGTATCAAGTATCAGAAAATGTTACCCTAGATGATTCCACAAGTACAAGCTCGGGGTACGTCAGTATCAAGTATCAGAAAATGTTACCCTAGATGATTCCTCAAGTACAAGCTCGGGGTACGTCAGTATCAGGTATCAGAAAATGTTACCCTAGATGATTCCTCAAGTACAAGCTCGGGGTACGTCAGTATCAAGTATCAGAAAATGTTACCCGAGATGATTACACAAGTACAAGTTCGGAGTATGTCAGTATAAAGAAATTAGAAAATGTTACCCTAGATGATTCCTCAAGTACAAGCTCGGGGTACGTCAGTGTCAAGTATCAGAAAATGTTACCCTAGATGATTCCACAAGTACAAGCTCGGGGTACGTCAGTATCAGGTATCAGAAAATGTTACCCTAGATGATTCCTCAAGTACAAGCTCGGGGTACGTCAATATAGAGTATCAGAAAATGTTACCCGAGATGATTCCTCAAGTACAAGCTCTGAGTATGTCAGTATAAAGAAATTAGAAAATGTTACCCTAGATGATTCCTCAAGTACAAGCTCGGGGTACGTCAATATAGAGTATCAGAAAATGTTACCCGAGATGATTCCTCAAGTACAAGCTCGGAGTATGTCAGTATAAAGAAATTAGAAAATGTTACCCTAGATGATTCCTCAAGTACAAGCTCGGGGTACGTCAGTATCAAGTATCAGAAAATGTTACCCGAGATGATTACACAAGTACAAGTTCGGAGTATGTCAGTATAAAGAAATTAGAAAATGTTACCCTAGATGATTCCTCAAGTACAAGCTCGGGGTACGTCAGTATCAAGTATCAGAAAATGTTACCCGAGATGATTCCTCAAGTACAAGCTCGGGGTACGTCAGTATCAAGTATCAGAAAATGTTACCGAGATGATTACACAAGTACAAGTTCGGAGTATGTCAGTATAAAGAAATTAGAAAATGTTACCCTAGATGATTCCTCAAGTACAAGCTCGGGGTACGTCAGTGTCAAGTATCAGAAAATGTTACCCGAGATGATTCCTCAAGTACAAGCTCGGGGTACGTCAGTATCAAGTATCAGAAAATGTTACCCGAGATGATTACACAAGTACAAGTTCGGAGTATGTCAGTATAAAGAAATTAGAAAATGTTACCCTAGATGATTCCTCAAGTACAAGCTCGGGGTATGTCAGTATCAAGTATCAGAAAACGTAATAAAGTAAACAAAATAATGAATACTAAGCTGATTCCAACATTTCTATTAATTCTTTGAATTACGTTTAGAACTGATACACAAAAGGAAGAGAACTAATTGATGTCAACCTCTTTATTGTGATTATGATTTTTTTGTTTTTTTGTTTAACGCCGCACTCAGCAATAATCTGGCTATATGACGGCAGTCTGTAAATAATCGAGTCAGGACCATACAATCCAGTGATTGACATCATGAGCATTAATCCACACAATTGGGATCGATGACATGTTCAGTGAAGATTCAGGGTAAAATAGGTCTCATGATGTCAATCACTGGATTGTCTGGTCCAGACTCAATTTTATTTACAGACCGCCGTCATACAGCTGGAATATTGCTGACGGTAGGGGTCGTCTCAAGATGTATATTAGGTAATGCAGTAAAGAAAGTAGTTGATATGTCTCGAAAAGAACTTATTTACTGCCGCAGTGGAAAGCAATATGAACAGCGTCATTGCAATGCGCGACACGTGTTCGTGTTTGTCTCAAGATAACTAGCCCTGAGAATAGAAGAAAGAAAGGTGTAGGTATCGATGACATCGAGGAACTTAGCGATCCAAATTTTATAACAGGATCAGGGTCATGCATATACATAATTAGTTCCAACTGGTACTGTTTACAGTAATTTCAGTATCTATATGGAATAAACAAATGTGTGATGTGTCAATACACACAATAAACATAAAATAAACATTCATACCAGATTTATTCTGGTAACAGAACATAAAAAGGTTTACCATTCCAAAGTATATTACAGGAGTAGTGTGATTTGGATCGCATAGTTTCAGGTGAACAATTGACTTGCCTTTGCGTGTGTTATTTTGAGAAACCATGCACAGTGTTCTCTGATTGGCGGAGCTGTATGTTCATTGGTTCATATTTATAGCTACTTCAAGATAAAATTTACATTTAATGTTGTTTCATGTGTTTTTCCTGGATTAAGCAATGATCATAAGCTTAACCTAATAAATGAGCATTGGTAGGGGACATGAATTAATGAAAAAAAGGAGAACATCGATTATGCTAATTAAGAGGCCCATTAGCTTTAGGGCTTGACTGTGACATGTATTGACCACTCTAGGTGACATTTGTGTTGAGTTTCCTGACACATTGTTATTTCAATAGTTACACTGAATGTTGACTACAGCAACGAGGTGAAACACTTTTAATTATAAATAATAGCAAATATGCCAATTATGTTGAGCATAATATTATTTGATATATTATCAAAATAAATATAAATATTCTTTAAAGAGAGTAGACCAATTATGTTGATCATAATTGCTATTGATATTTTATCAAAATACATATAAATATTCTTTAAAGAGAAATAGAACAGAACGATGACGTCATTTGTGACAGCGCATGTGGAGTGAGATTTTTTTATTTTTAGTCTTAGATCAGAAAATATTTTGAAAATAAGGATTTTGAAGACGAATATTCCCGAATGTACATAAGCCATACATGATGAATTATATATATTTCCCAATGCAACACAAATACGCTTCATCGTGCAGGTGTATCAGCGGTCGTCTCAAGGTCCAGCTGAAAGGAACGCCATCTAGCGGCACTGTCTGTGGGAAGACGTGGACCTCGGCGGAAACAGGAGTTGTCTGTGGCATGATGGGATACAAGTATGTATCTCGTTAGGAACCAATATAGATTGCATCAGATATTTGGACATTATTACTGGACCATGTTCATATGTGTGTATATACCCATTACAAACTACCAATCCCTGAATATTTTTCAAATACAAATTTTAATGAACATTTAAAATAGTAAAACTTTCCCATCCCCTATAGTTGTAATCTCTCTCTCTCGCTCTCTCTTTATATATATATATATATATATATATATATATATATACCATGTTCATATGTGTGTATATACCCATTACAAACTACCAATCCCTGAATATTTTTCAAATACAAATTTTAATGAACATTTAAAATAGTAAAACTTTCCCATCCCCTATAGTTGTAATCTCTCGCTCTCGCTCTCGCTCTCTCTTTATATATATATATATATATACCATGTTCATATGTGTGTATATACCCATTACAAACTACCAATCCCTGAATATTTTTCAAATACAAATTTTAATGAACATTTAAAATAGTAAAACTTTCCCATCCCCTATAGTTGTAATCTCTCGCTCTCGCTCTCTCTTTATATATATATATATATATACCATGTTCATATGTGTGTATATACCCATTACAAACTACCAATCCCTGAATATTTTTCAAATACAAATTTTAATGAACATTTAAAATAGTAAAACTTTCCCATCCCCTATAGTTGTAATCTCTCGCTCTCGCTCTCTCTTTATATATATATATATATTCCGTACTCTGTATGACTTTTTTATGAGCTCGCTCATTTGTAGCATATATATAGTACACATGGTTATAGTTTCATGAGGTACGGTCCAACTGTAATATGATTTTCCAAGCGTATAGAATAATAACATTTGTGTCCACAATATACAGGTATGGCGCTCATTGGATGAGTGGTGGAGGCGGGGGACTAATACATCTCGGTGACGTCACTTGTTTAACAGGGGCGACAACTCTAAATCAATGTCGACTTTCCTCCATTTCAAACTGTACTCATGACAATGACCTCTGGCTAATGTGTTGTCCTAGTACAGTCACGTCTCCAGGTATGATGTGATAGGATATGAACAGATTATTAAAGAAATACATAAAGGCCAAGTTGCATGTACTGTTAGTTCAAGATTCAAATCACAGAGAATAAGACCCGTGAAGATAGGTAGAATAGGTCTTCAGGAACCCAAGCTTGCCGTATAAGGCGGCTTTGCTTGTCGTAAGAGGCAACTCACGGGATCTGGAGGTCAGGCTCCCTGACTTGGTTGATGCATGTCATCGTATCCCGATTGCGTGGACCGATGCTCATGAAGTCGATCACTAGAATTGTCTGGTCTCGATTATTTTCAGACCGCCGTCATATAGCTAGAATAGTTCTGAGTTAGGCGTTAAACAAAACACAGAGAATAAAAACATATGGATATAAAGGACAGCTAAGAATTAAGATTGGATTGCATTTGGATGAAGATATTGTCAAAGAGACTAGATGCAGGCCAATTATTATTTTCATACAGCTTTATTCAAGTCATTCAAAACAGTCAAATTTTGTGACGTCAATCAATTTAGCAGTAATTGATTACATTAATTACACAGACACAGTGTCTACGTATTTACACATAACACTAATTACAAAGTATTCACTCTAAATTAAAGGTTGAACGTTTTTCCTCAGTTGTAAATGGACTCCAAATGCAAAATACAAAGTTACCAACCAATGGCAGCATATACATGTATTGCAGCTGACATAATGGCACTGATATGGTACTTGGTTTTCGTTACAGCTGTGGCGGTGCTAACGACCACAAAAACCCCAACAGGTAACAGTTTTCATTTTAGTAACATACCGTAACAGGTAACATCAACTTAATCGAGAGTCAGCGATCTAACCCACTCAGCCACCGTGGCTTCCAAATGTTACATAGCCAAATACCACAAAATGGAAGACTCGGTGTCTGATTGGGTTAGATCGACTTTGTGTGCTGACTATTAGGTGCCTCACTTTCAGACTGTAGACCCGTGAAGATCCGGGGTAGAATAGCTATTCAGCAACCTAGGCTTGTCGTAAGAGGCGAATAACGGGATTGGGTGGTCAGGCTTGCTGACTTGGTTGATGCATGTCCTCGTATCCCAACTGCGTGGATCGATGCTCATGTCAATCACTGGATTGTCTGGTCCAGACTCGATCATTTACAGACCGGCGTCATATAGCTGGAATATTGCTGAGTGCGGTGTTAAACAACAAACAAACAAACAAACTCAGACTGTAGGTTCGAACTCCAGATAGTACTCGCCTCAAAAAGTACTAAAATTTGTACTTTACCAAGTAAGTGTTATCCCAAATATAACATGTGTTACATCTGACCACGTTCTCAAAGGTATTGTGTTATACAAATACTTATTATTTAAATAAAAACGCAGTTGATTTTTCTCCTTAATGACAGTAAAAATTGGTTTGTTACTCCAAATACACACACACTCTGTGCTGTTTTTTTTCTTTTCGTCAACAGCAGGATCGACTTGCCAGTGCAGGGATGAAGTGATCTCTCTCCCCGTGATTGTGATTGTCCTCGTTATCGCTATCGTCTGCCTGATTGTCGTTGTCATCTGCCTGATAGGTCAGTACGTCCTTTGCAATCGTATTTCCGCGGGACACGCAGTGGATTGATACCACAAAACATTTACGCTCTTGGGAATACTCGTGGACATATATTTACTCGCGGAGTAGATACCTTGAATCCACCTGTGGAATTTTAGGCGGTTTATGTTTAAATTCATGTTTGTTTGGAGAGTCCTGTTTCTCATCCATTCACTCATACCTCTGGTTCTGGGTGAAAATCAAATTCACTCCGTTTATGGTCATTGTCTGTTTGTTGTTTAATGCTGCACTCAGCAATGTTCTAGCTATATGACGACGGTCTGATAATAATCGTGTTTGGACCTAAAAAATCAAATGATTGACAAAATGCGGGTCGATTTACGCAAATGGGATCGATGACATGCATCAACCAGTTAGCGAGCCTGAGCATCCGATCCTGTTAGTCGCCTCTTACAACAAGCTTGGGTTGACCACTTTTAACCTGTAGTGAGTGAGTGACGTTTTACGCTGCTTTTAGCAATATTCCAGCAATATCACGGCGGGGGACACCAGAAATGGGCTTCACACATTGTACCCATGTTGGGAATCGAACCCTATTCGAGCGAACGCTTTTATCACTAGGCTACCCGACCGCCCCTTTTAATCCAGATGTTCACGAATGAATATAGGTTTAGGTAGAGCCAAGTAATTAACATCCAATACTAACTGTGAGATTTTTTTCTTACGCTGAGTTTAAATACTGTGATACAACTAAAAATTTGGCGTTGATAACCCGATATGTACCTACTGTTCAACGAACAGAGGTTAGATATTACATGCTGTCAAATACCATTTGAATTCATATACAATCTCCTGTTTCAGTCGTCATGTGCTGTGGGTGCTGCGGGTGCTGTTCATGCTTTTCGGAGTGTTCCTGTGGAGGTATTTACAAACTTCATTAGCACAAAGTTAACACATCCTATACTCCATAACTAACGTCCCTTCACAGACAGACAGACAGCCTCCACGGTATTGTGGATAGAGCTTGCCCGGAGAGCTGAAGGTTGGTGGTTCTATCCGTGTCTTGCCAAAAGACGGTAAAAGATGGTACTTGTTGTTGCCCTGCTGGCACTCGGCATTAGGGGAACAAAACATGTACTGGTGGGCACATATCCAGCAGTATTCAGCAGCTCCCGCCTTTGGTGTCTACATTTATATAACACAAGTATTTGTTCCCTTGATCTCTTCAAGGAGATTATCATACGTTGGTGGAATTTATCGCTCATGCGTATTTGTAAACTGTTCTTCGCATAACACCCTAACAAAACTCTTCAAGTGACGATTCGGCAGCTATACTTGTCAACCACTTATGTAATCATATTTGATGTAATAGACATTGATTTCCTTTGGATGTCATTACATACAAGATGCGGTTTCCTAGCAACTGACATCAGATGAAACTTTCATATCTGATTACGGACGGTGGGGTAGTCTAGTGGTTAAAGCGTTCACTCGTCCCGGGTTTGATTGTCCACATGAGTATAATGTGTCAAGCCTATCTCTGGGGTCCCCCGTCATTATCCTACTGGAATATAGGTAAAAGCGGGGTAAAACCATTCTCACCCACTCACATACTAGCTCATATCTAACTACTGTTAAAAAACAGTACAAATTAAAACGATCTAATAACAACGAAATTATCTCACAGAATTTACCCTTTCGAACACTGTATTGTCACTATTGGGTCGCCTCTCAGTGATGTAATATTTTACTTAAGATGTTCTTAAATTTTACATCTGGTGTTTTAAGTGGAAACAAAATCTTTCATTTTCTGTTATTACTTACTGTGTGGGAGCTTTCGCTGATGGTTGACCTTAATCACTTTCTACCATGTTACAGACATAAGATTGGCACAATTCATACTGAACTGTCTTGTATGTTAAGTTTTAATGTATTAATGTGACTGCAGTTAATTAATCCTTTTTATTATGATCCCAGTTTAATGCGTTCACATTTTCCCGTATCATCCCGCCATGGGGAATGGATAGGATGATATTTTCATTTTTCACATGGGTGCTGCACAAGTGATTATCAGGTACACGATGTGCTGTCACATACATGTTTGTTTGTTTGTTTAACGCCGCACTCAGCGACATTCCAGCTATATGACGGCGGTCTGTAAATAATAGAGTCTGAGCCAGACAATCCAGTGATTGACATCATGAGCATCGATCCACGCAATTGGGATATGATGACATGCATCAACCAAGTCAGCGAGCCTGACCAGCCGATCCCATAAGTCGCCTCTTACGACAAGCATAGTCGCCTTTTACGGCAAGCATGGGTTGCTGAAGACCATTCTACCCTGGATCTTCCAGGTCGTCACAAACATTTGATGAATGAGATATCATTGACGAAAAGCCCGAAAGTGTGCATTCCTGTCTGCCTATAACCGAATTTCCCATCTCTTTCACAATAGACTGCCTCTGTGGTCTAGTGGTGGAGCGTCCACCCAGAAAGCAGAAGGTCCGGCGTTCGATCCCCGACCGCGTCATACCAAAATACGTTAAAAGATGGTACTTGTTGTTACCCTGTCTGGCGCTTAAAAAGGAGCTTAAACAAGGACTGGTCGGCTCAGTGTCAGTATACTGTGTCTGAGTTGGGTATTCATGTTAAACTACAGCATGGTATCTCAGTGGGCTAGCACTATAAATCGGCATCAGTCCTGACTAGTACAAGCAGCCACACACACACGCGTGCATGTACGTCAATACATATAAGTGCAATAATCTTGGACATGACGTTAAACCCAATTTCACCTAACCACCTCCTTCCCAATAAAAGCGACAAAATCCTTTCTATATTTATCAGAAATCTCTGCCAAAAGAATGGAATGTACGATTCCGTACTGTACTGTATCATGATCATGTGTTTATGAATCACTATCAAATAGTGATGATACCACTATCTTTAAACAAAGAAGTAAATTTAAAGAATCCAATCATACTATGCAAGATGACTAAGCACAATCGGTACACTAATTATATATAACGCGTGCAACCACCTCGTTCTGGGTTCATCCCAAATTGTGGAACTAATGTCTATGCTGTTTTTTTCAGGTGGAACGAAAGGGGGTGATTGTCATTGTAACAGCGATGGCAAGTGTCATTGTAACAGCGATGGCAAGTGTTGCTGCAAGTGTCATTGTAACAGCGTTGGCGAGGGTGGTCGCAAGAGTGGGTATGTGCATCTTTCATTGCTTGACAGACTTACAGGGGACTGCGATCTGCTCTTTTTTGACTGAAGCATGAAACGTCCTCTGACTCCCTCAATTCTGCAATTGTATCATTGATGTGGGAAGGTCTGGTAGTTAAAGCGTTCCCTCATCACACTGAACACCAAGATCCCATCCCTTCGTGAGTGAGGCTCCTAATCTGATCACTGTACCTTTCCCTAAAATGATAGCTTGTTGATTTTAAAAATGGTGGTTTTACAGTTGATTATATTGACTGTTATGAATACCTTGGACTATGGTTAAATGTGAAGCTAGACATGAAGAAGACTGTTAGAGAATTGTATAAATCTGCGAGTCACACCCTATCATCTTTAATTACGAACTGCTATGTAACGGGAGGCATCAGTTGTCATATCCTGTTGTTAAGAAATTAAATGAAAACCTTGTTGAACCTTTGTTATGGATCGGTGATTTGTGGTATAAATACTTATACAGAAAAAATCTTTTACAAAACAAAACTTGCAATTCTTTTCATGGTGTCACTAAGTGATCAACTAATGTAGCTTCCAATGGATATATAATTTTTAAATCACCTGTTCTCAAACCACATATACATGTATTTAGACTCTATATAAAGCTTAGTGATAATGCTGATACTCGTTACGTGTTTAGCAAGAGACTATTTAGTCCAAAATCTAAATTAAACAGTGGAGAAATAGACTTGTAAAAATTGCCTATAATAATCATCTTAATGACATTTTCACCTTGCCCGAGGCAAGAAATATATAATTGAAAATATCAGGTGTTCACGAAAGATGGAGCCGAGAATGGTGGGATGGATGAAATAAGGTAAATGGCATTAAAACTTTAAGACAATGTAAAACAAACTGTTCTTGAATCATATTTTTAAATGTAAAATATAGTGACCACCAAGTTTTAGCATTGTGGACCTTTACCCCTTGCCATAGACCTGGACGCTTTAACAAACCACCAACCCATCGTCTAAACCACCCCTATCCTCTTTGTCCACGGTGCTTTAAACAGTGTAATAACCGAAGGTGAATAATTTTTGAATATCACGTCCATTTTGTAAAGAATTGTGTTATTAAATCCTACTTTTACAAATGTCGCTGATTTAAATAAACTTAAATATATTTATTTTTAAGCCAGAAAAATTTACAAGTCGCATTGGCAAGCACACTTTATCAAATGTTTAAAAGAAAACAATTATTTAATTCATGAACATTATATTTACTCACTATGTATATAACAATGTATTGTTTTGTACAGGATACGAAAAGTATCCTTCTGGTTTTTTGTATATACATGTATGTATTTATTATTTTATTGTGTCTCATAAGCTGTGTAGGTGGACGTTACTTATGCATTAAATTGAATGTTTGTACATACCCAGTTTATGTAAGGTATGAAACCACAGCTTTTGAAATTTAATCCTGTCATTACACAATCTGGTAATAAAAACGTTTTCATTGTATACCTTGAATTATGTTTATAATCTATTTTATAAATTTTATTCAAAATCTTCAATATTGTTCACATTAATATCTTTTGACGGGACAGGCATCAAAACAAATGGCGATATATTTCATTGATAAAGAGTGTTTAAAGACTCGATGGCAAAAAACCCTCTTAACCGAGAATGATTATTTTTCTACTTTCTTGATTTCTTTGCCTAAAATCCTGATAACATTTGCTAAGTTTCACACTTTGCAATGGCATTCTCTCTCATTAATGTCATAAAGTATTGTAATAGCGTCATATGTAGTACTTTAATTATATTCATGGTATTGTATCATATGAGTATATTGAGTGAATGACATTGTTTTGACTCTTTCAGGTCTGACTGTCCATGTAAGTATATAAAAACTGGCCAGATAAGGATCACACAGACCCATCACATTATCGCCCTTTTGTGACTGCAGTTAATTTAGCATTTTTATTATAATCCCAGTTTAATGCGATCACATTTTCCCGTATCATCCCGCCATGGGGAATGGATAGGAGTATATTTTCATTTTTCACATGGGTGCTGCACAATTGATTATCAGGTACACGATGTGCTGTCACATACATGTTTGTTTGTTTGTTTAACGCCGCACTCAGCGACATTCCAGCTATATGAAGGCGGTCTGTAAATAATAGAGTCTGAGCCAGACAATCCAGTGATTGACATCATGAGCATCGATCCGCGCAATTGGGATATGATGACATGCATCAACCAAGTCAGTGAGTCTGACCAGCCGATCCCATTAGTCGCCTCTTACAACAAGCATAGTCGCCTTTTACGGCAAGCATGGGTTGCTGAAGACCATTCTACCCTGGATCTTCCAGGTCGTCACAAACATTTGATGAATGAGATATCATTGATGAAAAGCCCGAAAGTGTGCATTCCTGTCTGCCTATAACCGAATTGCCCATCTCTTTCACAATAGACTGCTTCTGTGGTCTAGTGGTGGAGCGTCCACCCAGAAAGCAGAAGGTCCGGCGTTCGATCCCCGACCGCGTCATACCAAAATACGTTAAAAGATGGTACTTGTTGTTACCCTGTCTGGCGCTTAAAAGGAGCTTAAACAAGGACTGGTCGGCTCAGTGTCAGTATACTGTGTCTGAGTTGGGTATTCATGTTAAACTACAGCATGGTATCTCAGTGGGCTAGCACAATAAATCGGCATCAGTCCTGACTAGTACAAGCAGCCACACACACACGCGTGCATGTACGTCGATATATATAAGTGCAATAATCTTGACATGACGTTAAACCCAATTTCACCTAACCACCTCTTTCCCAATAAAAGCGACAAAATCCTTTCTATATTTATCAGAAATCTCTGCCAAAAGAATGGAATGTACGATTCCGTACTGTACTGTATCATGATCATGTGTTTATGAATCACTATCAAATAGTGATGATACCACTATCTTTAAACAAAGAAGTAAATTTAAAGAATCCAATCATACTATGCAAGATGACTAAGCACAATCGGTACACTAATTATATATAACACGTGCAACCACCTCGTTCTGGGTTCATCCCAAATTGTGGAACTAATGTCTATGCTGTCTGTTTCAGGTGGAACGAAAGGGGGTGATTGTCATTGTAACAGCGAAGGCAAGTGTCATTGTAACAGCGATGGCAAGTGTTGCTGCAAGTGTCATTGTAACAGCGTTGGCGAGGGTGGTCGCAAGAGTGGGTATGTGCATCTTACATTGCTTGACAGACTTACAGGGGACCGCGATCTGCTCTTTTTTGACTGAAGCATGAAACGTCCTCTGACTCCCTCAATTCTGCAATTGTATCATTGATGTGGGAAGGTCTGGTAGTTAAAGCGTTCCCTCATCACACTGAACACCAAGATCCCTTCCCTTCGTGAGTGAGGCTCCTAATCTGATCACTGTACCTTTCCCTAAAATGATAGCTTGTTGATTTTAAAAATGGTGGTTTTACAGTTGATTATATTGACTGTTATGAATACCTTGGACTATGGTTAAATGTGAAGCTAGACATGAAGAAGACTGTTAGAGAATTGTATAAATCTGCGAGTCACACCCTATCATCTTTAATTTCAAACTGCTATGTAACGGGAGGCATGTCATATCCTGTTTTTAAGAAATTAAATGAAAACCTTGTTGAACCTTTGTTATGGATCGGTGATTTGTGGTATAAATACTTATACAGAAAAAATCTTTTACAAAACAAAACTTGCAATTCTTTTCATGGTGTCACTAAGTGATCAACTAATGTAGCTTCCAATGGATATATAATTTTTAAATCACCTGTTCTCAAACCACATATACATGTATTTAGACTCTATATAAAGCTTAGTGATAATGCTGATACTCGTTACGTGTTTAGCAAGAGACTATTTAGTCCAAAATCTAAATTAAACAGTGGAGAAATAGACTTGTAAAAATTGCCTATAATAATCATCTTAATGACATTTTCACCTTGCCCGAGGCAAGAAATATATAATTGAAAATATCAGGTGTTCACGAAAGATGGAGCCGAGAATGGTGGGATGGATGAAATAAGGTAAATGGCATTAAAACTTTAAGACAATGTAAAACAAACTGTTCTTGAATCATATTTTTAAATGTAAAATATAGTGACCACCAAGTTTTAGCATTGTGGACCTTTACCCCTTGCCATAGACCTGGACGCTTTAACAAACCACCAACCCATCGTCTAAACCACCCCTATCCTCTTTGTCCACGGTGCTTTAAACAGTGTAATAACTGAAGGTGAATAATTTTTGAATATTACGTCCATTTTGTAAGGAATTGTGTTATTAAATCCTACTTTTACAAATGTCGCTGATTTAAATAAACTTAAATATATTTATTTTAAAGCCAGAAAAATTTACAAGTTGCATTGGCAAGCACACTTTATCAAATGTTAAAAAGAAAACAATTATTTAATTCATGAACATTATATTTACTCTCCATATTGATAACAATGTATTGTTTTGTACAGGATACGAAAAGTATCCTTCTTCTGTTTTTTTTGTATATACATGTATGTATTCATTGTTTTATTGTGTCTCAAAAGCCGTGTAGGTGGACGTTACTTATGCATTAAATTGAATGTTTGTACATACCTAGTTTATGTAAGGTATGAAACCACAGCTTTTGAAATTTAATCCTGTCATTACACAATCTGGTAATAAAAACGTTTTCATTGTATACCTTGAATTATGTTTATAATCTATTTTATATAATTTATTCAAAATCTTCAATATTGTTCACATTAATATCTTTTGACGGGACAGGCATCAAAACAAATCGCGATATATTTCATTGATAAAGAGTGTTTAAAGACTCGATGGCAAAAAACCCTCTTAACCGAGAATGATTATTTTTCTACTTTCTTGATTTCTTTGCCCAAAATCCTGATAACATTTGCTAAGTTTCACACTTTGCAATGGCATTCTCTCTCATTAATGTCATAAAGTATTGTAATAGCGTCATATGTAGTACTTTAATTATATTCATGGTATTGTATCATATGAGTATATTGAGTGAATGACATTGTTTTGACTCTTTCAGGTCTGGCTATCTATGTAAGTATATAAAAACTGGCCAGATAAGGATCACACAGACCCTTCACATTATCGCCCTTTTGTGACTGCAGTTAATTTAGCCTTTTTATTATAATCCCAGTAAAATGCGATCACATTTTCCCGTATCATCCCGCCATGGGGAATGGATAGGAGTATATTTTCATTTTTCACATGGGTGCTGCACAATTGATTATCAGGTACACATTGTGCTGTCAGATACATGTTTGTTTGTTTGTTTGTTTAACACCGCACTCAGCAATATTCCAGCTATATGACGGCGGTCTGTAAATAATCGAGTCTCGGCCAGACAATCCAGTGATTGGCATCATGAGCATCGATCCACGCAATTTGGATACGATGACATGCATCAACCAAGTCAGCGAGGCCTGACCAGCCGACCCCATTAGTCGCCTCTTACGACAAGCATAGTCGCCTTTTACGGCAAGCATGGGTTGCTGAAGACCATTCTACCCTGGATCTTCCAGGTCGTCACATATTCGTGCATGCAGGGATAAATCTACCCCCGCGTCCCACGTCTCTAATGCATTAAGTTCTGACAGGACCCATATTTTTTTTAGACATGCGTCCTCCAGGACGCAAGGTTTTCATGAAACACTAATGTCCTTTTTTTTGTGGAAAATCAATATCAACGTTTTTAACGAAGTTTTCTTTTGTCTAAATACGTGCATAAACGTGATTTTGGTCAATCGATTTTCCATGGAAAGTCCCGGTCTAAAAATAACTTAATACGCATGTACGACGTTTTTCTTTAAAACGCGATAGCTGATTGGTTGTCAATAAGCAAGTGACCAATCGTGAGCAAGCTTGTATACGACTTCGGTTTCTGTTGTTGATAATTTCTCTAGCAGTCGACATGCCGCCGAGAAAGGTAGCAAAGCTGTCATATTCTCAAAAAACTTTGTCATCGATGTATGGTCAGAATGATACAATTGAGACAAGTGAAACTGAGCACGGTGAGTCTCAGTCAACGAATGAACCTGTCAGAAAACAGAAAGTAAGAACATTCCTGTCAAATTGGCTAACTGCACACTGCTCATGGTTGATATACGATAAGGAAAGCGACTTCATGTATTGCAAGCTTTGCACCGAAAATGGTAAAACAAATGGCATGACACGTAACGCTAAGTGCAGAAATTTCCAAAATAGTACCTTAACCAGGCATGTAAATAATAATGATCATAAATTGTCAATTCAGACTCCGAAACTTCGTGAAAATAAAAACAGTTTTGAAATATTTGTGGCATTTATTTTTATTTGGGACTCATTAAAGTTTCAAAGGGACTCATATATTTCAGATTGAACTCATAAATAGTCAGTTCAGTGAGTCCCAGGACTCAGGTAGTTAAATTTGTAGATTTATTACTGTACATGTGATGAATGAGATATCATTGACGAAAAGCCCGAAAGTGTGCATTCCTGTCTGCTTATAACTGAATTTCCCATCTCTTTCACAATAGACTGCCTCTGTGGTCTAGTGGTGGAGCGTCCACCCGGCGAGCGGAATGTCCGGCGTTCGATCCCCGACCGCGTCATACCAAAATACATTTAAAGATGGTACATAGAGGTTATCACGCGAGTGTGTTTGGGGATGGTAAATATCCTGCATTGGGAATAAACATTGTATTTAGCGAGCCTTGGCCAGTACAATGTTTATTCCTAATACAGGATATTTACCATCCCCAAACACACAAGCGTGATAACCTCTTTATCATATAATGTCATTCTTTAATTCTGTGCTTCAAAATCGCATTCCTTCTGTCACAAACATTACCGAAACATTGCGAGTTTTCCTGGAATGCGCGCATTAATATATTTTACGTCACAGGGTAAGTGATGTGTCAGTCGGACAGTGACAGTAGCCAATATAGTTCCAACTGAAATCTGTTTCTTATACAGTGGCGAAGCAGCATAAACGCAAAACAACAATCCTTGTTTTTAATTGTCTCCATCTGTATCCATCGGTCTGTCCGCTAAAGTAACTTCCCTTTGTCAAAGGGAAGCTACTCTAACCCTAGTCTATGAGATATCACGGCCACGGTCAGACGTTGTTCAAGTCGATCTGTCCTGTCATAACGTTAAGAAGTGTAGTCAGATGTACACACAGCGACAAAACGAAACAAGGTAACAATTCAAACATATTTCGGCCAAATCCAACTATTTTAATTTGTGGAGAAGGTTTCAAGCCGCAGAGGTCTACAAGCACAGATATGGCTACTGATCCCGCTTGGTTAGGCCTCGTGCCCTCGCAAAATTGTTTCAAAATTTGGACAAAATTGATATCACCAAAGTTGCCAAAACTTAGCTACATCACAGTTAGACACTGATTTTCAGTATATTAGACTGTCCTTTTGATAATGATAGCAATTATCCCTGTAGTTTATCCAGATTCCAGACGTCATGTTTGTTTATAAACAGTGAAAGTAGTTCCTACTTGACCTTTGAAATTTGCATCTCTATCCGCATATGACCCCAACGGATATCGTTTTTATCCGTTGGCTTTATCCTGCCGAGAAACCTACCCATTATATGATAATTGTTGTTACCCTGTCTGGCTCTTAAAAAGCAGCTTAAACAAGGACTGGTTGGCTCAGTGTCAGTATACTGTGTCTGAGTTGGGAATTCATGTTAAACTGCAGCATGGTATCTCAGTGGTCTAGCACTAAAAATCGGCATCAGTCCTGACTAGTACAAGCAGCCACACACACACGTCGCTATATAAGTGCAATAATCTTGGACGCGCCGTTAAACCCAATTTCACCTCACCACCTCTTTCACAATAAAAGCGACAAAATCCTTTCTATATTTATCAGAAATCTCTGCCAAAAGCAGAATTGAATGTAGGATTCCGTACTGTACTGAATCATGATCATGTGTTTATGAATCACTATCAAATAGTGATGATACCACTATCTTTGAACAAAGAAGTAAATTTAAAGAATCCAATCATACTATGCAAGATGACTAAGCACAATCGGTACACTAATTATATATAACACGTGCAACCACCTCGTTCTGGGTTCATCCCAAATTGTGGAACTAATGTCTAGGCTGTCTGTTTCAGGTGGAATGAATTGGGGTGATTGTTGTCGTAACAGCGTTGACGAGGGTGGTCGCAAGAGTGGGTATGTGCATCTTACATTGCTTGACAGACTTACAGGGGACTGCGATCTGCTCTTTTTTGACTGAAGCATGAAACGTCCTCTGACTCCCTCAATTCTGCAATTGTATCATTGATGTGGGAAGGTCTGGTAGTTAAAGCGTTCCCTCATCACACTGAACACCAAGATCCCATCCCTTCGTGAGTGAGGCTCCTAATCTGATCACTGTACCTTTCCCTAAAATGATAGCTTGTTGATTTTAAAAATGGTGGTTTTACAGTTGATTATATTGACTGTTATGAATACCTTGGACTATGGTTAAATGTGAAGCTAGACATGAAGAAGACTGTTAGAGAATTGTATAAATCTGCGAGTCACACCCTATCACCTTTAATTACGAACTGCTATGTTAAGGGAGGCATGTCATATCCTGTTTTTAAGATATTAAATGAAAACCTTGTTGAACCTGTGTTATGGATCAGTGATTTGTGGTATAAATACTTATACAGAAAAAATCTTTTACAAAACAAAACTTGCAATTCTTTTCATGGTGTCACTAAGTGATCAACTAATGTAGCTTCCAATGGATATATAATTTTTAAATCACCTGTTCTCAAACCACATATACATGTATTTAGACTCTATATAAAGCTTAGTGATAATGCTGATACTCGTTACGTGTTTAGCAAGAGACTATTTAGTCCAAAATCTATATCAAACCCGCGGAGAAATAGACTTGCAAAAATTGCCTATGATAATCATCTTAATGACATTTTGAGCCGAGAATGGTGGGATGGATGAAATAAGGTAAATGGCATTAAAACTTTAAGACAATTTAAGACAAACTGTTCTTGAATCATATTTTTAAATGTAAAATATAGTGACCACCAAGTTTTAGCATTGTGGACCTTTACCCCTTGCCATAGACCTGGACGCTTTAACAAACCACCAACCCATCTTCTAGACAACCCATCCTCTTTGTCCACTGTGCTTTAAACTGTGTAATAACTGAAGGTGAATAATTTTTGAATATCACGTCCATTTTGTAAAGAATTGTGTTATTAAATCTTACTTTTACAAATGTCGCTGGTTTATATAAACTTAACTTTATTAAATTTTTTAACTTATCCAGCATTACTCCGTATTGCATCTACTGCTGTCTTGACAGACGAACTGTGTGAGATCCAGCTGCTGAAGAAAGTCGTCCCAACCAGTCCAGGAAGCAGCGCCCTCTCACAGTCGGCATGTGACCCGGAAGTCATGACGTCACACCAAAACACATAACTGCTTTGTCATCTCCACGGACGGACCTACTGTGTATCCCTTGTGGAAATTAAAGCTTATTGTTTCTATACTTTGCGTGTTACTACATTCATTGTATGCTGCTACATTGTTACCTGTTATTGGCTGTTATCTTAGGGTCTTCCCATTCGTAATTTGTAACGTTTTATCGCTCATTTGTGGCTCAAGTCACAGTAATTTACGGGCGCAATGTTGTTCCCGCCATTTTTGCCTTTCAGCGTCATTGTTTCCTCCCGTACTCTTTGATTTTGCCACATGGTTATGTGTTTGCTTAAAGCTATGCCTTTTCGCTACCTTTTAGCGTCATTGTTTGCTCTCATAAACTTCAATAAAATACAAAGTTTTGAGTTACATTGTGCTTCCCGCACTTTGTGGTTTTGCCACATAGTTATGTTTTGCTTAAATTCCAGATTTTCTGCCTCGCTGCACTTGTTGCCGCGTTAACAAATCTGGTCGGGGCCGCCCCTTCTGCCATGATTGTACGACGCCCTGTACTTTCACAAGGCAGTGCCGATGTTGCAGTCCTTCGTTGCTGTGATCCTTCAGCTCGATACGAGAATCCAGGACACACCTCACTCAACGTGCTCGTCGACCCCCTGATATGGCTTACAACTCGGAGACTGCGGTCTTTCTACTCTCTTGCCGTCACCTTTATCGACAACATCGCACCTTCGACGCCTGTAACAGGACGGGTCTTCCGTTTCGTCAGCCATCTAAGTTGACAGCAGCTGCGCTCACCTTAGCTTAGCAGTGCTACCAACACCACCGGCGCCTCAAGATCTCCGGTGCCTCAAGACCTCCTGCGCTCCTGGCGCCCACGGCGCCTCAAGATCTCCGGTGCCCAGATCAACAAGCTTCAACAAGCTTCTTGCAGTGGACATATTGTCTCGACTTCCTACTACCCGGTTACGTCGATCCCCCGGCAGTCGATTGTGAAGCTACATGGGGTTTGGTTCGCAGGCAAGCACACCTCTCCACGTATTGTCCTGACGGTACACAATCGAAGACCCCTGTTGCTGGCTTTTCAACTTTGCAGTCTTGTAGAAGACCTCATATACCATGACTTCCCGCTATTCCACTGCCACTTCAACCTTGTCAGCGGCTAGTGGCCCACACCAGCCCCCGTCCTCGGCACAGCAGCACCATTGGCACAGCAACAGCCTCGAGATAAAAGGCTTATCCAGGACGTCACTTGCTGGCAGAAAATTCTCGGTGATGCCCTGTTGATTAAGTCCACTGACAACATCACCATAGTGTGGTGTTTGAGGACCCAGAGTACTGGCCCCTCTCCCAGCGCTACCAACTCCACTTGCGCCCCCGAGAAGCATCACCTCCGGCGTTCCCGGCGCCTCAAGCTCTCCGGCACCTCTGGCCAGACTATGTCAAACGGTCGACACCCCAAACTTCGATCTGTTCGCCACATCTCTGAAAGCTGCCAGCTGTCGCCTTACATTCCACCAGTGCTGGATACGGTCGCTGTGGCAGTCGTCGCCTTCAGCTGTTCCTGTGTGGGATTACGTGCGTACGCTTTTCTGACTCCGGTTCTCCCTCCCCTGGTTCTTCAGAGATCCAGGCCACTCGGCACCTGACACTAAGTTGGGTTGCGCCTTTATGGCCGACCATAAGTTGGTTTATCGACCTCCGAAACATCGCCAGAGACAACCCCTGGAACTTCCGGTGTGCTCCAACCATCTGCTCCATCCACACAGTCGGTCGCCACACCCTAATACCCGCATGGTTTCGTCTGCACACCTGACACATCTGCAGAAAGCCCCATAAGCCAAGGGCTGTTCGGCTAGAGCGACCAAGGCTATTGCTTCAGCCGACCGTCCATCTACACGGGGACTGTATGATGATAAATGATGCTCGTTCCAGGCATTTTGTTCAGACAAACACCAGGATCCGATGACAGCGTCACCGCAGTTCCTAGCTCAGTTCCTTCTGTACTTGTGCAGCACCCATTGGTTGAAGGGCTCTACCACCCCCACATACCTGGTCGCCATCAACGCGTACTTGGCATCCAGGACGATCGGAGAATGACGAAATTCCCGAATTACAGGCCTCGTTGCGCTCATTCAATCTTGAAGACCAGAGGGCCAAGTTCAGACCGCCTGCGTTGAACTGCTTTTGGCTACTGCCGCTCGAGTCAATGTGCAGCATGACCTCGACGTCTCCCGTGTCTGGTTCGAATGCGGTGCCCAGGGCGCCGTTCATCATGGCCCGTGCTGGGACTTCATCGTAAAGAATCAACTCCCAGGACAGCCTGATAGATCATTCATTACCCCCTCCCCCCTCGTCCATTGTCATTATGCCCAGTAAGGGCACTGAAGGTTGTTCTACGATGATCTAAAGCCTGCTGCAAGTCTAGGAAACACCTTTTTTCTGCCGGTACCCACTTCGTCGCAGTCGTTGGTCAGCCGGAATACTTTTCCCTGTGGCTCCGGGTGGTCATCCTCAAAGCTTATGAAGCCACCGGATTGGACACTCCTCCCCCCCCCCCCCCCCCCCCCCCCCCCAAGGCTATCAACCCACACCAGATCAGGGCGATCGCATTTACCATGGCTTTTCATAGTATAACTGTTCCATCCAGTCACTCAGGGAAGACTGTTCTTGGCAATCGAACACCGCCTTCGCCAACCACTACTTCCGTGATGTAGCCGGGAAAGATGTCGCCGGCGTTCAGTTTTGGTCCCTGGTTGTAGCCCAACAGGTCATCTATCACCGATGCCACTGATTCTTCGATACCCTGATCCGGGCCCGTCAACCTCTCTGGTGTTTATCACCCCAGACAAGGATGCTCTCTTGCGTTCCGCATTCGCTCTTAGGTCAGTTTTAGTTTTGGGTTACCCGCCTCATTCTATTTCTGTCACCTACTTTTACTTTTTGCATCAACTCTCGTTTCCTGACGACAGGAATGGTAGTAGATGTGGACACCGTCGCCAATGCCGCTGACTCTCTGATACCCTGAGCGGTGCCCGTCGACCTCACCGGTGTTCCTCGCCTCCAGACTAGAGGGCTCTCCTACGTTTCGCATTCGCTCTTGGGCAAGTGGGGGCACGGGTGGCCCAGTCGTCTAAGGCGCCGCGATTCGCTGTGCAGAGTTGCGTCCCTTGGGCACACCAGAAACCTATGATTGTGGGTTTGAATCCCGGTTCACCCCAATTATGTTTCTAGGTTTGTCAGCACCATACCCGTGCTCGTGGGTTTCACCGAAGTGGTAAACGTCTGAGACATGCATCACTTTCCTCCCACATTAAGCTGACACGCCGCGATATAACTGGAATACTGTTAAAAGCGGCGTTAAACCCAACTCACTCACTCACTCACTCTTAGGCAAGTTCTAGTTTTTGGCTACCCGCCTCATTCTATTTCGGTTAACCTATTCAGGCGTTTCGTTTTTGCATCGACATCGTTTCCTGAAGACAGGAATGGTCGTAGATGTTCCGGTCATCACTTGTATGCGGTGCGGATTCATCGGACCTTGACGATGGTTTATTATGGATCACATCTGAAGGTATGCCCACCGGCCATGCCGTCTGATAAAGATGCAATACGGAGTAATGCAGGATAAGTTAAAAAATTTAGTAAAATCTAAATATTTTTTACATTTGTTTACTTATCCTTCATTACGAAGTCTAAGTGCCCTCCCTTTCGCTATGTTTAAAGCAGTAATGTGTTTTGGTGTGACGTCATGACTTCCGGGTCACATGCCGACTGTGAGAGGGCGCTGAGGGCATGCACACTTTATCAAATGTTTAAAAGAAAACAATTATTTAATTCATGAACATTATATTTACTCACTATGTATATAACAATGTATTGTTTTGTACAGGATAGGAAAAGTATCCTTCTTCTGTTTTTTTTTGTATATACATGTATGTATTTATTATTTTATTGTGTCTCATAAGCCGTGTAGGTGGACGTTACTTATGCATTAAATTGAATGTGTGTACATACCCGGTTTATGTAAGGTATAAAACCACACCTTTTGAAATTTAATCCTGTCATTACACAATCTGGTAATAAAAACGTTTTCATTGTATACCTTGAAGTATGTTTTAATCTATTTTATAAATTTTATTCAAATTCTTCAATATTGTTCACATTAATTTCTTTTGACAGGACAGGCATCAAAACAAATGGCGATATATTTCATTGATAAAGAGTGTTTAAAGACTTGATGGCAAAAAAACTCCTTAACAGAGAATGATTATTTTTCTACTTTCTTGATTTATTTGCCCGAAATCCTGATAACATTTGCTAAGTTCACACTTTGCAATGGCATTCTCTCTCATTAACGTCATACAGTTTTGTAATAGCGTCATATGTAGTACTTTAATTATATTCATGGTATTGTATCATATGAGTATATTAAGTGAAAGACATTGTTTTGACTCTTTCAGATCTGACTGTATATGTAAGTATTATAAGACCCTTCACATTATCGCCCTTTTGCCTTAACTAGATGTGTCTGCAACACCATGGACAATATGATTAATGGTTGACTGGTATGGCACCTGGAATCGAACAGCCTCCTCACTGACATTTAGTGTGGTTTCAGAGGACACAGGAGCACTGTTGACCATCTGGTCTGACTCCTTTGGTATCCAACAATCTGTCTCAATTTAATATTACGTGTTATCCGTAGTTAGAGACAAACGGAGTGCCAATATTAGACCATAGCTACTATGATCTGTTTCGACATAAAAGGACATCGAATTACAATGTTTCACTGAAGATACTTCTCTATTTCAGGTACTCACACGCCACACTGTCGCTGTGAAGGGTGAGTACAGGCCAATCAACAGAGAATCATGCTAAACCCAACTCATCCATACAATCACTCACTGAAGCACATGTCTATAACCTAACAAGCATGAAATACACATATCCCCCGCCATAATGACATATCCAGTTATGTGCAAAGCATTAGCCGGAAACAAGCTCTACTGCTATTTTCAGTCTAAGTCAAAGTCGTTGCCATGGAAACTAAAAAAATAATATTTAAAAAAATCCCAATCTATCAAAAGGCACCAGTTCTCACTAGACCTATCTATGTGTTAAGTTTGGTTAAGATATCTCTCATGGATATGCTCCAGAAATGAAACGTGTCGGACGGAGGGACAACACCCATTTATATATCTCAGAGCCAACACCAGCTGTTATTTTCCCTATATAAGTGGGTATCTTGTATAAAAGCAAAGTCATATGAACATTTCTTGATAATGACTAGATTTTGTAAACAGAATGCAGGTTTGTCACATTCATGGGGGAAATAGCGTAATATATTCTGAGAATTGTTCTCAAACTTGCAGGCATTTACCTGGGTCTGACACAGAAACCGAAAGTGGCGTATGCAATGGTTAGCATGTTTAGGACTAATCGTTTGATATTGCGTGCGTGTGTGCGTTTTGTATAGAGACTGCATATTTTTTTCCTGTTACAATGAGTCTCACTTATTATTTTTGTGCCAGTCAGAATTATGATTATTTGATTTTCTGCGACAATATATTTTTGGAGCATTTTCTGAAAATACCAATGTTCAATTTTACTTCGCAATAGGGTAAACTTTAATGCAAAAGTCTGTGCACCCACCTCAGTCATTGGTAGCTCACATGTCATTTTAAGCTGTACCACAATTCTGTTTCCATATTTTTTTCAGAAAGAAGACAAAAGGACGAGAAACGCTAACTCAACCAACAAACAAATGCCCAATACAGATAGACCTATTTTGTAAGTAAGAATTACCAAAACAAGGCTGTTCGAGTGAGTGAGTGAGTATGGTTTTGCGCCGCTTTTGGCAATATTCCAGCAATATCACGGCAGGGGACACCAGAAATGGGCTTCACACATTGTACCAATGTCGGGAATCAAACCTGGGTGTTCGGCGTGACGAGCAAACGCATTAGCCACTAGGCTAGAGCTTTGTACACAATTCAAAATCCTCATCTGTGACTGCAGTTAATTTAGCCTTTTTATTATAATCCCAGTTTAACATGTTCACATTTTCCCGTATCATCCCGCCATGGGGAATTGACAGGATGATATTTTTATATTTTTAAACTTATCCTATCTCACACTTTGCATTTCTCCCTTCTTCTTCAATCCTATGTGGGAACGTGCTTGAATCATGTTTCCAGCTTCTAAAACTAAAAATAGCCACCCAAGCCCCCCCTGCATCTCCATGGTTACGTGCCTCTCGTGCTCGCCGTGCCTGCTTGAACTGACTCTTGTGCCTGCGCCTCTTGTGCCTGCGCCTCTACCAATTCATTCTCTTTCTCATCGCCACCGTGTGTCGACGTGTTTGAAAAACACAGAATTATTGTCCTTCGCCAGTTTGTTCGAGTATCTTAAAAATATGGGAAAGGACAATCAACGTCCTGCTTGTAAAAGATGCAGACATACCTATTCCACGTCGGATCCCCACTCATTATGTTGCGACTATCGGGGACAGTGCACCTTGGGTTCCCGATGTGCGGAATGTCATTCCCTAACTAACTTGGCTTTTAAAGTTTACCTGCAGCGTTGTTGTTGTCATATTGCCGATCGCCGTTCCAAAGCAGGGGTTTCTAAAGCTAGTACCAGCTCATCATGCCTCAAGACAATCCTGTTGAACCTGTTATTTCCTTACAGACGACTTGTCCTCTCGCGACCTGTCTACAACTCCACAAGATATGCAGGTCGATGTGCGCTCAGTCCGTCTGATCAACACGGGTCCTGCTCTTGTTATACAAGCGACAGTTTGCTCCAGTCCTTTCAAAGTCCCACTCTTGGATTCAGCAAGCTCTGCACCCCCTCTGGGGGCTAGAGATACGGTCGTCAATATGACTTCATCTCGGGTAGTTTTAGATCGTCACACTTCGGTACAACGTTCACCCTCCAAGACAACATCGGCATTCCCGCTCCCACGATCGGCGCTCTCGTTCCAAGGATGGGCATTCCCGCTCCCGGAATTGGTGCTCTCGCTCACAGGATCGGCGCTCCCGCTCCAAGGATCGGGTTTCCATGAATGTCATCGATCCCGTTCCCGATCGTCTTCACTTAATGATAGAGACCGGTCATCCATCGTTGACTACCAGCATTGCGGATTCCCTCACGGGACCTCGTCAGCGGGGGATACCTACGCGGCCCGTCATAGAGGATGGGATACCTACCCGATCTACCATGACACTTATTACCAGAGCCCCCGATACCCTTACTCACAGTCTTATAAAGAACGAGATTGTCCAAGATCACGCTCCCTCCAAGACTGGTCCTACTGGACATTAACTCTAACCTAGATACAGCTTTCGTTGACTTCGGGATCATCTCCATATCCCCCGCTTCATCATTGAAGACACAGACACTCATGGCATGTCTACTACGGTCGTCTCCCCCGAGATTGATAGTGACGTTTCTACTCTGTCCCAGAAGCGCTCAACCTCGTCTTACGTGGTTGAAGATTGGGACCTCACGCACTTGGATACCACAGTCCGCCGTACCCTCCGACTCGTGTCTACTATTTTGTCAGCCATGGACGCACTCTCCGTCTCTCTCTCCACTCATTCCCAAGAAGATGCCTTTACTCGGGGATTTATCAACCTTACAAAAGACAAGCTTACGCAGATTTTGGACCTCCTCACTCACCACGCCGGCTCCATGACGGCTCTTCTTCGCAGTGGTTTGCTACAACATTCTTCCTGGGATGACCAATTTAAGGCCAAACTGTATCAGCAACCCTGGTCTTCCCGCTCCTTGTTTGCTGACGCGATACAACAGGTCGCACAGGGCATGCCGAGAGATTCTAGCCTTCAGGTCACGGTGGACCTTCTACGTCTCCAGAAAAGACAATTGGAGGTTCAATATCCCAAATTTGTTCCTGCCCAGCGAGATTTATGTGAGCTTATTTCGTCTCGGCCTAATCCCTTTCGAGGGTGCCGCCGAGGTCGAAGAGGTCAACGGGGCTCGTAGCCCTCCTCAGCTCGATCAGTCGCCTTTACTTGACCCAAGAGCGCCGGCGAACCTTTCCAAGAGGGAGGGTCAGCAGGAACTTGACTCCTTTGCAAATCGGCACGACTGGGAACTTCCGCCCCCAGCCGTTCCTGTTATAGCAACGCCCGTAGGCGGAAGACTCCAGATTTTTGCAGACAATTGGACCATGCTCGCAGACCCCTTTGTGACGCAGCGGCTTCAACAAGGATATCGATTACCGAAGACCGCACCACCACCTATGACACTCCATCCCCATCGGAAAACGTATCCATCCAGGCAGCCACCAACATTGATCGAAATGGTAGGCACATTACTATCAAAAAATGGGATCAAATGTCTCGGCACACTTCCCGCGACCGCCGGGTTTTATTCCCCCATTTTTCTTGTCCCTTAAAAGGACAGTTTAAAACTAAGGCTCATTTTCAACATGAAGACTCACCTAGTCTGTCAGGCAGTGAATAGCAGTTGTCAGGATAGAAAAATAAAACAAACAAGTGGCTTGTAAAGAAGTGGAAGGGGGATATAGGAATGGGTGCCGTTGCCATCCTTCCGTCTGTCCGTCCGTCACATTTCGTTTCCGGAGCAGATCTTGAAAACCGTACCATATTTCTTTACCAAAATAGGCACATAGATAGGTCTAGTGGTGAACTGCTGCCTTTTGATAGTTTGGGATTTTTCAAAAACTTATTTTTTTAGTTTCCATGGCAACGACTTTGATTTAGACTGAAAATGGCGGTAGTCCTTGTTTCCGGAGCAGATCTTAAAAACCGTACCATATTTCTTCATCAAACTTGGCACATAATGTCATCTCCCAGTATTGAATACATTTCCATTCTTGTTGGTAAGTTCTGTATTGCTTGAGTGTATGTTCCTCCAAAAGTGACATGGACACGGTTGTTGCATTCACTGACAAACTTTATGCAGAAACACAACTCATTACAAATACAACAGTGTAACTGATCTTAAACCTACTCAACTGTATAAACACTATATATTCTTGTCAACCATACTCTGTACTGAACCTACACCGAAACCATCGCTCCTAATTGTAATAAAGAAGTTGCTCGTCCATATGTCTCATACTTACTCATTACAAATTCAGTTACATATTCTATCATAAACTGCAGATGGAAAAACACCAGTAATAACTTTTTTAGTGCTGCAATTAGGCCATTTACAAAAAGGCCCAGTGAACATAGTTCACAGGAGCTAATGCATTGCACACAACCCGACATGTCATATTGGCGGGGGATGTGAGTATTTCATGCTTGTTTACATAGGCAATCAAACTAATTAAACATGAGATAACAATAACAACAAAGATACTGACTCAAGTAGGGGTTACAACAACAGGAATGTAGGACCTGATAGATAAACACCTGAGTATGGAGCTAATTGACGAACTCACAACTAAATAGGCTTTGCTAACCAATCTCACCGGACACTAGACAAGACAATGGATATGCTAACGTCTACGTCTGACAGGAATTCACACCTTGAGACAATGAGCAGTGACCAATTAACATAAGCTCTTAATTGGACCAATTAGCGGGGACTCAAAAGGACAGGGAATAATTACCTCTAAGGGATAATAGGTGGATTTAAATGAAACTACAACGCTTTAAGCGTAAATAAGGATTTTAGCCAAAATATCTTCCCAAAGTACTGTAAGATACAAATAGCTAGTTCTATGAACTTACAAGTACAAATAACCCTATAATAAAATGTAAGAGCAAGCAGAATAGTCTACGAACTTACAAAAAGGGTATAATAAGGGGTAAGATAAGCAAATGTGGGTATGACAAAGTTCAAGATCTCACCAAATCCCGTCAAAGAGTCCTAGGTCGATCCAGCAGTAAGACAGCAGTGAGCAGCTAGCAGCGTGACCCGAGTCCGCCGAGACATTACTGATTAACTTAAGATTTGAGTCGGCCTTTACACGAAAGAGCCCCTAATTGACCATCACTGATTGACCCTTAATTAATTAATTAACCAATGGGAGATAAGTCTATTCACGTTGGCTAAAGCTAAACAACCCTGTCTTGTTAATGAGAGTGTGTTTTCTAGAACACGTTTTTTGTAATATAACTAAAATTATATTATGAGTATATACACATATGAACTATGAGCGTATAGGTCATAAAAAGTTCTATACACTGATATAAAATATACAACAATAAATATTAAAATGAAATTGGTAGGGACAATAAACAGCGAATACACATGGGCAAAATATGTGTTCAGTGACACAAAATCATGAATTACATAAAAGGTTGAAAAGTGACAATAAAAGCAAATACATATGAAGGTAGAGAATACAATTCTCTTTCAAACTGTACAAATACATATAATATTGACTTAGAAAATTGGAAGAGAAGTGACGCTAATTAGCACAGCGTCACACGTACCTCATAACCCCACCACATTTTCGCATGACCACGATCGCGCTCCTTTGTACGCTCATTCATCCTGGCGGTTATATGATCAGTCTCAATCTCCAAGACGTTCCCATCCATTCGGAGCACCGTCACTTCCTCCGGTTCGTTTTTCAAGACCACCATTACGAATGGAAGGTGGAATTTCAGCACTCAAACAGCCGCTTCAACTGCGCCAATGGCAACAACTCCTGGGCCTCCTAACTTCAGCGCAGGCGCTCACTGTACGGGGTCGACTTCATTTGCGACCTCTCCAATGTTTTCTTGCGCCCTTTATCAGGATCAACGATTGTCACACGCCGATTTCTCTACCGCTCAATCTCCACC